GGCCAGGTCCCCCAGTGGGGGCCACGTGAGAGGCAACCACACACTGATGTTCCTCTCCCTTTCTCCCTCCCTTCCTCTCTCTCTCTCAAAATAAATTTTAAAAAAATTTTAAATGGTTTATTTGCTATTAAGGATATATTATTTCTCAAAAAGGAACTTGTTTTGTCTTGTATATTTCTCTTTAACATCCAGCCACATTCCTTGACTGATGGGGTTCTAACAGTTTCTAGGTAACCCTATATCAACTGGGTGATGATGTCATCATCTGCAAATAATCTGGGCTTGTTTCCTGTTTTAATAGTTTACCTTTTATTTGTTTTGTGTTATAGAATACACTAGAATTTGCCAAACAACATTAAATACAATATTTCTTTGACTCTATGACCATTCAGCTTAAGAACATGCTATCAATTTAATGATAGCTTTTGGAGGCTACTATTTGAAATGCCCACATGTTGCAACTCACGTTCCAAAATCAGAAGTGTTTGCATACATCTCACAACTGGGGACCTACGGTAAACTGGTAATGGTGGCTCCCATTTCTTATTTTAGTGGGATTTAGGATAGTCTTTGTTATGTTAAAGAGTATCCTTTTTTGAACTCAAATAAAAAGCTCTAATTCTGCTGGATGGTAAGGAGAAGCTGTACTGTTTGGTCTAACAAAAAGTGGGCACGGCAGCTGTGCACGCGTCACCCAGGACCTTTCCCTGTGACCGTCCCAGGCGCAGAGTGCCCACTGCAGAGCCACGTCTCTGGTGGCCCCACCCTCGGGGCTCCCTGGCGGCACCGCCCACCGAGGATGGTGTATTAGTCTCATAGCATGGCAGTGACACGTTTGGTGGCTTAAAGCAACAAGTTTATTCTCTCACCATTCTGGAGGCCAAAAGTCAGAAACCGGTACCACCACCGGCCAGAACTGAGGAGTCGGGGGGGGGGGGGACACCCCTTCCGGAGGCTCCAGGGAAGACTCCTCCGCACCTCGCCTTCTCCGCCTCCTGGTGGCTGCCTGCGTTACTTGGCTTGTGGCCGCGTCACTCCAGACTTTAAGGCCAGAATCTTCAAATCTCTGTCTGCACTGTCTTCACACTCCTGCTGTCTGTGTGTAGATGGAAATTTTCGTGAACTTGTCAGTGCTGAGGGTGATGCTTTCAACAAGGTGTGTTAACAATGGCAAAGCCTTGATCATTCCCTTTGGAAACAAGGCTGTGGACACCTGGAAATGGCTCTAAGCCAGTTCCCAGAAAATCAGTTCATTGAAAAATTGGTTCTACAGGAGCCACTTGACCCCGCCCCCGCCCCACCTCCCACTGTCCCCTAGTCTGCAGCTCTGCAGGAACAGGGAGGGGGCATGTTCTCTAAGACTATTGTGAAGGCAGAATAAAAACTGGTCAATTAAGACCTTAAAGAAAAAAATCAATTCAGCATATTGGTTGCTTAGTAAATTGCTAATTTAGGAAATTGGCCATTTGGCAAATTGGCTTTCTGCAGTTGGCTCTTGGGAAATCAGTCTGCTGCTTCCCTAGAAGACACTGCAGAATGTGGGCAGAGTCTGTCTTCAAGCCTGGAAGAGCACTGCACTTGTCCCCCTGCTTGTCCCCCACAAGCCACGACATGGGGACATTGCCCTCGCAGGAAGGTGGGACTCAGCCCAGCCACTCACTCTCTATGAGGGCCGGGTCATAAAGAGGAAGAGGAAGAGGAAGAGAAAGCAAAAGTGAGTGGGAGGTGCCCCACCTTTGGACCCTGAGTCAGCGGAACCCAGATGTGGGCCAGCAGCTGAACTTCTCTGTGCTGGTCAGGCCAAGCAGGAGGGCGGTCAGCTGGTGTATGCCAGCCGGGCGTGGGAAGGCAGCTGTAGGATGTCCAGACTTAATGCATACAACCACAAGTTGTGCAGGGTGATCTTGGGGAGTTGTTATTAGACTAAATGTGCATTAACTGTTCCAACTTACAGCATGAAATACTCAGCACTGGCCTGTTAGCCATTGTTAGTGGTACTGTTTTGACACTCGTGCGATAGTCCTAATGTGTGACGTACCCACGATCACAGTGCCTCATGCCCATAGGTGGTTATAAATACCACTTCTCTTTTTTCATTGACTGGGTAACTTAGGGTACAGGCGCTTGTCCATCTTTGGAGACCTGTTTGTTCTGGGGTTACCTGAGGCATTTCTTGATCCTTGTAACTTCAAAAGCCAGTCTAGTCATCAACATCAGTGGAGCATGTACATCAGCACAAACACAGCCACGGAGCACCACTCAGCCAGCTGGCCGACTCACTGTTCCGTCTGTAGAGAGCCTTACCGATCACCAAAGCAAGTGGGGGCTGCTGGGGGGGACCCTGAGGACTTTGAAATTGTGTTGATATGGCATGAACTGTTACAGTGGAATAAAAAGCCCAATAATAAAGAAATGAAAAGAAACAACAAAACAAGGAGGACAATAAGCTGGTGCCTAGCAACTGGTGAATTGCTGATTATATTATGCGCACGTATCACCTCAGACTAAAGATAAGAACGGGTTTATTTGTGTGCGCATCCTTTTCTAACACAATGACCTGGTAACTAAAAATAGCTCAGTAATCTCTTGCCTTTTGGTGATACGTTGCCAGTTCAGTGGCAACAGGCAGCTACACTCACAGGCAGCGCATCTCTGTTGCCATGTCCCTGTATGAGCAAGTGTTGGAGGGGCTCGCAGACATCTGTTTTGCCAGAGGGAGCAGACGATCCAGCTGGCTGCAGCCCATATGTGCACTAGTCTGGTATGGGAAACCGTAGACTAAAAAGACTTGTAGATCCGCTTCCCTGCACACAGTGAGGTTAAACAGAAGATCCGCGACAAACCAGACTAACGGTTATTTATAGTGAAAAGGCAAGAACAGCAGGGATTGGAAACTAAAACCAGCTCAGTAGCCAGATGATAATGTCCTCCCCGTAAGGGGGGTGTCCAGGCCACTGAAGACACATAGGAGCCGGAGCCCGAGCTCGGCGGAGTTATGGGAAAGCCAGAGTTGGAGTGAGGGGCTTTTTCACGCACACCTTATTTTAGATGGGAACTCTCAAACCGTTTAGGCAGTGGTTAGTAAGCAGCCCTCGGTCACTGCACAGCCGGCCAGCAGGCGCTCAGACCCCCGGGAACGTGAGCTCCCCGCAGCAGCCAAGAAGCGAGTTCCTGGTGCCTTTGTGCACACGAGGGGAAGGCACTGGTCGATTAACAAGGGAGGAGTAGGGGTCATTTTGACTGTTTGCTTTTCTGTATTTTCTGAAATTTTCTCTAGTCAACTGGTTGGTTTGGGTTCATTTTTTAAAAAATCAAGCCCATACAACAGAATAGCACAGAGATTCGAGTGTCACTGCCTGACAACCCTGTGGGCGCCGAAGCAACTGCCGGGGGTGGTGGGAGTTGAAATGTTTATGAATAAGACACTGCAGTTACTTGAGCTGCTAAGATTAAATTACAAGAGCAGTTGTTCTTTCAAGGCCGTCTGACCCTCTGCTGAGAAGACAAATGTCCCTTCTGCTCCGCCACTGCGTCCTGTGTGAGATGGGGTAGGGTGGCAGCAGTGTGCTGCTGGGCAGGGGAAACCTGCCCAGTTGTTTTGATTAAGGCTTTTCTGGAATATTCTTGTAGAAGGGTTAAGAGCTGTAGGATTGTTTAGCCCAAAGACAAGGAAGCAGAGGTAAGGCATAACTTATCTGACTTAAATGGAAAACAGAATGTGGGAAGATAGGCTGGACTTGTTATAGTGAGAGTCTGTTTTTGTTTTCACCTTGTAAAATTATGATGTAGAGCAGAAAGAGTAAGTATGTGACCACGAACCATCGGGAAGCAGCCATCTATGTAGCCGCAGTCTTCCCCACCAGGCTGACCCTTAGCCGGGAGATGGGGGCTCTCATACATGTCAGGTCCTTCGTACTGAACCTATGTCTGGCACGTGTCAGGTGCTCAAATGACTGAAGGAGGCATGTTCTGAGATGGTGAAGTGCTCTAGTAGGGTAGGTGCAGAGCAACAGAGAAACACAAAGTGAGGGACCACGAATTACACCTGCTCCCTCAACCCAGAGTAAGGAAAGGCTCCCTAGGAGAGAACAGTTGAAGCAGATCTTCAAAGACTGTTTCACCAGAAGCAGTGCAGGAAGCACAGTATAAGCCAGGGAACAGAATGTGCGAAGACACGGAAGCAGGAAAGAACACAGCCAGGCCAAACGTGAAGTCTGGGGGTGACGGACACTTAGGGTAAATGGAATAGGAGGGCAGCGGAGAAGGGACGTTGACTGGTGGTAACACTGGAGAAGGGCTGCCTTGTAAGTCTCAAAAGCGATGGGGATAAAAAAAAATTAAACACAGAAAAGGGAAATGTTCCCAGGTGAGGGTTTGTTGAGCACTGGAGCTGATCTATAGAATTTTTCCCAGGCATCTTGAGCCAAATAGAGCAGACGCATGAGCATGATCACAAAATCAACTGAAGTTTAGCTTCCAGGTAACACAAGCGACCTTTTGAAAAGTCAGGCTGTAACCGGAGCGAGTGTGATGGTGGCTGTTTTCCACAGTCGGACCTGGAAAGCCTCACTCCCCACCTCTGTGATTCGGGAAGCTTGCCCATCTGGTAAAACTGTGAAAACAAGGGGGTGTGCCTGTGAAGGACTTCTCCCTCCCTGGGATGGCGGGATGGTGGCAGCAGGAAGGTGTTATGACATAAATCCAAAATTGCTCAGTCGTTAGTGCTGATAGAGCCTAAGGCTGTTTCTCCAGTGTGGGGCTTCCTGGTGCGTCTTTGTTGTCCTTTGCTTTTTTGCCTTGCATACCTGAGAGGGCCAGTTAGTAGCATTCTGAGTTTAGTATTTACACGTTTTCCAAAAAGAAAGAGCACTCTGCCGGGTACTCTTGCAAGGAAGGAATGGAGCTATAACCGGCGTGAGACCGGCGGCGTCTGTTAGCTGAGCTCAAGCCCCTCCCCTCGGCCAAACTCTCCAAAGGGGCTGTCCTTCCCGAGAAACGAAAGTGAAATTGAACCGGAGCCATTTCACAGCCAGTTTGCTTGCCGCCCGGCCCAGGGGTATTTCCTGTTTGGACTCCAAGGACACTCCCTTGTCCGCGAAGCCTGGAGCAGAAGCCTGGCCCCCGGAAACCAACGGTGGCTGCGGGGAGGGTCCCACCACCGGGAGGGTCGCACTGCCCGGACATGCTTCCCGGGCGCCATGGACCCGAGGCAGGTAAGTGCGGGCCACCCAGAACTCGGCGCCTTGGCCCCCCTCCCGTGCGCTCGTGTTTCAGCCCTTGTTGTGTGAGCGCTGTGAGTGTGCGTGCACGCACGCGTGTGTGTTTTCTTGCCAGGCAGAGTTGCTGTTCTCGTACTTTGTATCCTGCTAATTACAGTGCGGTGTTGAGCGATACGAGTATGAGGGCCTGTGAGGGGGCTGCACCCCCGTCGGAGGGGCGAGGCCTGAGCCCAGGCAGAGGCAGAGCCCCTCTCCCTTCCCGCCTGGACCTCCCAGGCACGCCCCCAGCCACCCTTCAGTCCCATTCAGACAGCATGCTTTACTTCTAGCAATCTCCTCTCTGCGCCCTTTAAACTTCCTGGAGGCACTTGGGAAATGGGAACCCATCCTTCTTAACCTGCAGGAGAAAGTTTATAGCAGTTTTCTTCATTATGGCTAAAAACTGGAAAAACCCAAATGTCCTTCAACAGGTGATGAGATTTTCAAAAAAGAAAAGGGTTGGGGGTCCGGCGGTGTGATGGACTACCACTTGTGATCTCCGGCGGTGTGAAGGAAGGAGAGACCAGTGCTGCAACAGGATGGGTGCGCCGCAGTGCTCTGTGCGAAGCCACGGGCTGCGTGCTGTGTGCGTCCCCTTAGCTGTGTTCTGGAAAAAAGAAAGCCGTAAGGGCAGCCCCCAGACATGGGTGTCGGGTTCTGGTGAAGGAGTTGACTGCAGAGTGGTGAAAACGTTTTGGGGGAAGGGAGACATTCTGTGTCTCCATTGCGGTGGTAGTGATGAGGCTGTATGTGCTCCGACTTTGCAGTCAGAATTACACACTAAAAAGGCTGCGTTTTACTGTTTGTTAATTTACCTCCATATAAAAAAATACACTGGGTCCCACAGAAGTAACGCCTGCTTGAGTGTGGTTGGTAGGGTGTAATAATTTATAGTTTTAATTTGAACATTTCACCTGAAATGTCTGTGAGTGTGGTATTGTTGTGTTACAGAATTACATACTTATCATTGCGTAATACAAGATTTCATAACAAAAAGGGGTGTTATTTATGCCAGACCCTGTATATAAAACACACGTTCATGCATGTACACATATGTGTGTAAAGAACAGAGATGTCCACCAGAGTGGCCAAGTGTAGGTTTCCAGTTGTGAGTACGGGAAACAATTTATTCTTGTATTACTATTTATTAATTATTGTATTATTTTATTACAACTCACTTCATATGTGTTATAGATGTCTTTAAAAATCAGGTAAATTTAACGTACAGTGAAACTTACCCTTTTTAGTGTTTAATTCTGAATTTTGACTACCCAGAGTCAAAGCACATAGAGCCTTATAACTGCCTCCGATTGTAATTGTACGAGCGTAGGGTATATCCGAGTGCACGTGTGCACAGAGTGTGTCTCCTGCTGTACGAGAGGCAGAGACGCCCTGACCTGAGGAAGAGCAGTTTTCACACTGCTAGTGTGGCACCTCTGGAGCCTGCGAGGTGAAAGTGGGACTCATCTCTTGATCCCAAATACGTGAGACCGGATGGAAGTGCAGTTCCGTCGGGCGGCAGGTGTGAAGTGGCCGGCGCAGTGTGCATGATAAGTGGGCATGAAGCGAGTGAGTGGGGTGCTGAGGGATTTAGGAACGATCGATCGATCGATTGCAGTGAGTTGGTTTCCCACTTCCTTGCTCTCACTCCCATGCAGCAAACCTCCAAATGGTGGTGGTTTTCCGGTGGTGGCTTAGTTTGGCTCTCAGAGGCCTTGGGTATGGGGGAGGGGGGAGATAAAATTAATGATCTCCCTCTAATCTTTCTCTAAAATAACAGTTGTTAACAAATGTAGCCTTCTTTTCTCTGCTCATTCTAGCGTGTACACACGCACACACGTATTCATGGGGTTTTTCTTTTGTTTACAAAAAAGTGGATTACAGCATACATGTTCCTCTGTGGCTTGCTTTTTGTTGTTGTTTAATTTAACATTATATCATTTCTAAATTTTCTCCAGGTGAATACAAATAGGTTGAAACACTTTTTTTTTTAACTGTGAGTACTCTTCCAAAGCATGAATTTGTCATGATTTATTCTACCCTTTTTATGTAGATGAACATGCGAACGTTTTGCAGGTAAAAGCAGTTTGAATCTAGAAAGCATTTAGCTAGGAACTGACTTTAGCCACTTTGAAACAGTTCTTTTCACCAAGGTCACTCTAAGAACTAATGAGAAAAGCGCTGAAACCCTCCTCATTCGGCTCCCGGAGCCTGGCTGGCGGTCCAGCCCCTACGCGCACCGCGGCCCCCAGCAGTGCGGCGGGGACATGGTTGTGTGCAGCAGGAGGAGCAAGAGAGAGGGGGTCGCGTCTCTGCGTAGGGGTGTCTTGTTTTCGTGTTAATTCCACAGATGTCGGTTTGGGACCAGCTTTGTGCCAGGTGTTTTCCTAGGTGCGGGAGTACGGAGATAGTAGAAGCATGCATGGTCCTTTCCCCCGGAAGCGCACCGTGGAGTTGACGGAGCCCCCATCGATATTATGTGAAGAATATTGAGAGTAATTTCCAGGGCACCTACTATTGTTAATCACCTTTTAGATATACTACAGTCTATGTGTGCCATTTACAAAATCAGTAGCAGTCCTGGCCGGTGTGGCTCAGTTGGAGCATCATCCCTGATGGTGTTGCAGCCCCGAGGGCTGCAGATTCGATTCCCAGTTAGGGCACATGCCTGAGTTGCAGGTTCGATCCCTGATCCAGGCTCATACAATCCCTGGTCCGGGCATGAGTGAGAGGCAGCCAGTCAATCACTGTTTCTCATATCGATGTTTCCCTCTCTCCCTTCCTTTCTTCCTTCTCCCCTCTCTAAAAAGCAATGAAAAAACTGTCTTCAAGTGAGGATTAAAAAATAACAAAATAAGTGTAGCTCAGTGGATTGAGCATGGGCCTGCGAACCACACCATCATGGTTCGATTCCCAGTCAGGGCGCATGCCTGGGTTGTAGGCTGGTTCCCTGCAGGCCAGTTCCCAGCAGGGGACGCATGAAAGGCAACCATACATTGATGTTTCTCTCCTTCTCGCCTTCCCCTCTAAAAATAAATAAAATCTTTAAAAAAATATATATATAATGAAATATAAAAACATTAGTAGCTATGATAAAAGGTAAAGTAAGCAGTGTAACACGTGCGGAGTAGGAGTTCAAAGACGGGAAGCTGGAGGAGAGGGAGGCGGGTCTCCTGGAGAAAGTGTTAAAGGAGATCTGTAAGGAAGAGGCTGCACTTGGCAACAGGCGGTCATAGAGGGCGAAGCCGGCCCACTGGACTGGAATGCCGGGGGATGGAGAGCTAAGAGGCTCTCGTCCTAGGTAGGTAGGCCTGGTGAGAGGTAAGGAGGGGCTAGAACTGTAGGCAGCACACTTAAGGGAAAACACAGAGGTGGCAGACAGCACAGGACTCGGCAGCTACCTGATTTTTAGATGTTGGAGAAAGGCAGGCAGCAAAGATGACTCGGGTTTCTAGCCTTAACGACTAGAAGGAGAAGGGTGCCATTAACAGTGATAAGAGCAGCAGGAGGAGGGGTTGGGGTTGGGGAGATTCATCCAGTTGGACTGTGTGGCGTCTGAGGAAATGGCAGGATAGCCAAGTGAGCGGATTATTTAGGCATTTAGAAATTCAGTCTTAAGCTTCAGCATAAGGTGGTGGCAGAGATGATCAATTGGAACAGTTCCTAAGAGGGCTAGTTTAGGTGGAGTGGCTGGAATCACCTCAGGGAAGGAAGAAGCAGCCCTGAGACAGAACCTTGGGCACCAGTTACGTGTAAGGGGGAGGGGAAAGGGACCGGGACAGACAGGTCAGAGGTGAGAGCAGGGAGACCTTCGATGCCACCACCAGACCATGGGAGGAGACTTTTTAAAGGAAAAGCTCAGTCCACAGTGAAGCAATATTGAACTGAACTGACCCCGAAGAAGTGAAAACCTGAAGTTCAAGAGGAGGAATGTATGTGAGCCCTTTCGTCAGTGTCCTTCTCCAGCACCGTGTGGACCCTTTAGAACAGAAAACGAGGACAGTGGGCCTTGCTTGGGTGGGTAAGGGAGCCGACCGCGACATCCGGGCTGAACAAGTGGGTGTGTGAAACCAGAATGGGGTTGAGTGGGCCAGGCTGGCCCACAGCTACGTGGGGATCACATGAGTGAGGAGGGGAAGTTGTAGGAACAGAGAAGTTTCGTCAGAAAAACAGCGTGAGTCAGCAAAGTGCAGCCCTCCACCTGTTTTGTAAATGAAGTTTTGTTAGCAAGCTCTGGGGGGTCGGGTAGTCATCACCACGTAGTTTTACTTGTACTTCCGACAAGCAAAGGAGGCCGGACTCATCAGAAGCTCTGCCTCCCCAAAGGGGGCTTAGCCATTCCTTATCGACACTGTTTGGGCAACTACATGTTAATTTTTTCTTTGCAGTTGGCTGCTTTCATCCCAGTTGAGTCCCTGTCTCCTCTTCCTATTTACAGTTGTATCTGCAAAATACTCTGCTACATTTTAACATTGAGCAAGAAATAACACTGAGAATTTCCTAGACTTTGAGACCCTTGTCCCATCTTACAGTTTTCACACTGGGGACGGCTGCTTTTGTGCTACAATTGAAGATTCATCTGGTCCTTCCTAGAAAAATTTCCTGACCCCTGGAAAAGAGTTGCATGCAGGGTTTGAGGTTTGGTGGTGGCTGCAGCTAGAGTTAATGGTGAGACTGAGTGACAAGCTAGACCAGCCAGTCACGTGGCTGAAGGGTCCAGGTGGTGGTCATCTGGGAGCCCCACAGCCAGGGCACGGGGGGGGGGGGGGGGGGTTGGCACGCGTGCCGAAATCCCCTGATTGCATTGAGTAGAAGGCTGAAGTCATCGCAAAGGGGGCACAGCTGCCTGCAGTACTCGGAAGCCCTGGGGAGATTCAGACACGGGGACGGTCGTGGAGAAACACTGTTCTAGCTGCTGCCCCACCTCCACCTGCAGGCGCACACAAGCCCCAGAGGGAGGCAGCATTTCTGAGAGCCCACCCTGGGTCCCCTAAGTACCTCCTGTCCCCACCCCCACCAGGGGGACGGGAAGGGGTCACAAGGGCTCATTGTCCTGGTAACCGTGTGGCAATTTGTGAGGACATGGTGTGCCTGTGCCCTGTGGAACTGGGTTCTGAAGGACACACAGTGGAAGCCGGGAGCCTAGGGAGGTGTCCAGGAATAGGCGCTGCCGGCTCCACTTGCCCAGGAGAACCGGGCAGTTTGGAAGGACAGGAGTGAGGGCCCAGCGCCCCTCCGGAGCCCGAGCCCCACACCGAGGATGAGATCAGTGTGCCCTTTTTCAAAGGAATCTTCCAGCTGCCCTCAAATTCTGGCAGGGACCGGCCGATGAACCGTGCACTCCTGCCCCCCCTCAGGTGCGGGGGCTTCCCCTGCTGTAGCCTCGACTGGCTTCCGCCTGTTTGTTTTCTAATCATCCCGGAGGAGTCAGAGGCAGTGTGTACCCTGCACAGCCCCCCACTTTGCGGTTTAGGTTATTATCTTGTTTTTATTTCTTTTTAACACAAAACATCTGTTTGTTTTTCTAATTTGAAAAGGGTAATTGTTTTGATGAGTGGGAAGATTCATTCTCAGCTCCCTAAAATTCTGCCAAAGGGAAAAGAACGAGTTAGGTTGCTGGAGAGGCCACACTGCTGCTGGGGACTCTGTTCTGCCTCCTGAGCCTCTCTCTCCCCTGCGGTGGGTCAACAGGCAGTGCTCACTCGAGGTGGACAAGCCCTCCTGCCTGGGTCCCCAGCCTCCCTCATGCCATCCCATCAGGTGCATCGGGTGCACCCCCCCACTCCCCCCTCCACCTGCAGTGCCTGGCTCACCACTGCGGTCCTAATTCACTTTCTCTTCCATCTTGTTCTGCAGGGGTCTTTCCTGAACGGATACTACCCAGACCCACTTCAAGGCTATGACCACAGCGGACTCAGACACCAGCAGCCGGGGCCAGGATCTTATCCTAATAGTTTCCAGCTTCAGCAAATAGAGTTTCTCAAGGGGCAGCTCCCAGAAGTACCCCTAATTGGAAAGCAGGCACCAGTACTGCCACTGCCCCTCCCTGAATCCTGGCCAAGGTTTCCAGGACCCCCTGCCAGAGGCAGGCAACCGGAGATCTGGGGTACCCCCAGGGGCGCCCCTCTCAGAAGTCAGGCGCTCCAGAGACAGTTCCAGCTTCCTTCCCCCCGCGGCAGGGTTCTTCCATGGAGAGGTGTTGACAGGCTTTCCTCACACTTCCGGGACCTGAGGATCAGCCTCCAGGATCAGGAGCAGAGGGTGTTAGAGCTCTTACAGGAGCTCGGCGAAGGGAAGGTCACCACAGCTCAGGATCTGGCTAGGAAGCTCCAGGCCCCCAAGAAGGAAATCAATCATATTTTGTACTCTCTGGCAAAGAAGGGCGAGCTGCATCAGGAGGCAGGAAGGCCCCCTCTGTGGAGACTTGCATCCTCGGTTCCTCGGAGCCAGCACAGCCAGCCATCGAGAGCAGACGGGTGTAGCCAGGAAGCTCCAAACTCAGGCCCCAGTTTGGAAACTGAAGACAGGGAACCCACGTCTGGCTTGGAAGATCCTTCTGAGCCTGTTGACATGGCTGAGATCAAGGAGGAAATCTGCAACTACCTTTTTAATGCGTTCAAGTCCTCCGCCCTGAATTTGGCTAAAAATATCGGCCTCTCGAAAGCCCGAGATGTCAACACTGTGCTGATTGACTTGGAAAGGCAGGGGGATGTCTACAGGCAGGGGACAACCCCTCCGATATGGTATTTGACTGACAAGAAGCGGGAGAGGATACAAATCAAGAGAAATACGAACAGTGTTCCTGAAACCATTCAAGCTGCTATCCCCGAGACCAAAAGGAATGCAGAGCTCCCTCCCTGTGACTCGCCTGTGCCAGATGCCTGGAACAGTGTCACCACAGAAAATGTGGAGAATGGGCAAGAACCGGTCATAAAGTTAGAAAGTGGGCAAGATGTCACACCAGAACCAGTAAAACTGCAACCACCTGTCCGTGACAATGGCCCCTCAAAAACAGGGTATGTTGACTTTGAAAATGGCCAGTGGGCCACAGATGACATCCCAGATGACTTGAATAGCATCCACGCAGCCCCAGGTGAGTTTCGAGCCATCATGGAGATGCCCTCCTTCTACAGTCATGGCTTGCCACGGTGTTCACCCTACAAGAAACTGACAGAGTGCCAGCTGAAGAACCCCATCAGCGGGCTGTTAGAATATGCTCAGTTCGCTAGTCAGACCTGTGAGTTCAACCTGATAGAGCAGAGTGGACCACCCCATGAACCTCGGTAAGAGACCCCAGGAACTGTGCCTAGGGTTGGGGTCAGGTGCTCTGGCTCCTGACGCAGGCTCTGCTGACTCATGACATCGCCGAGTGGTGGCCCCTGTCTTTCCCCCCTCTTCTCTGCCTCTTGGCTAAAGCACCCTCGTTGGCCCTTCCTCTAGCTCCTGAACAGGGAATGTAGAGCTCGGACTAGCCAGGATCTTGGCTGAGCAGGGGGGAGGTTGACCCTGTTGGCTAAAATGCAGCTTCTTGGGGGAGAGGGTTAGCTTTCATGTGTCAGTAGCGTGTCTGCCTGCTAAGGCCAGAGGTGATGTAGACCTGGCTCCCTTCCCACATCTCTTCATGTGCCGTTCCCCCTTTCCCGCCACTGAGTCCCCAGAGAGGGTGCAGGGACAGGTGGGTTGGGGCAGGCTGCACACCCGGAGCAAGGGTGAGCTGTGCAGCGGCAGCAGCGGGTTCAGACCCACTCCCAGCCTCTGTAGGGAAGGGCAGTGTCGAGTGGGCACCGCTGCCTGCCTCCTGGAGGAGCTGGTTCTGATTTTACATACTTCCTCTGCACAGATGGCTGGGCTAGCACTTGCTGCTGCTCCTAAGCTGTGAAATCAGAAATTCCCTCATTCAGACAGTTGGCAAGGCTCCTGCAGGCCAGCGGACAGATTGAGGAAGACAGGTGGGCCCAGAAGGAGCTGCTGCAGGGCCTAGCAGAGAGCTGAACCCACTGCAGCTGAGCGATGACGCGCCCCAGCTAGTGAGGACAGGAGAGAGTAACCTAGGCTGTCGTCTAAGGGTGAGGGTTCCCAGCTTGACCTTTATCCCTTGTTGTGACTGTCTTAATGGCACGATGTCATTGCGATGTCATTGTGGGAGGGCTGTTAAGTAAAGGGGGTGTGTCCACCTGAAAGCCAGCGGGGCGGGACTGGTTTGCTGGTGTTTGGGGTAAAGACTGGATGGCGGCCGCTCTCTTCCCCCTGCCCCCTCCCCAGGGCTGGGGAAAAGCAGCAGGTTTTGTGGCTAACCTTTCTTTGGACTCCAGCTGTAAGAAACATTGATGCCAATGTTCAAATATTTCAGAAGATCCAGGAAATAAGAAATTTGACCTACTTTTCTAAATGAAATCCCAGGTTGAGCAAAGAGCTGAACAAATTTGAAAGCTTGAACAAAGGAAGTCTAAGTTCAGTTCGGAAGCCTAGAACAAGCACTTTTTGATTTTCTACATAACGGGGAAATTCCTTTCATCTCAGGCGTCAGACAAACAGAGCTTTAGAATGACTCAAACCAGGAGCGAGCAGTGTGTCTCTGTGGGCAGGTTGGGGACAAGAACAAGCCCTGAGGAGTGGCAGGTGTCGAGGGTGTGAGGCCGCACCACAAGGCTGGCACTCCTGCCCCTGGGGCGGACAGCCTAGCACAGTTGCTTTAGGGCGAAGGCTTTTTGGTTGCTGACAAGACCGAAATGTGGTGGTTTTACTTCATCCTTTTCGTACAGGCTTTACCTCAACTCACTGAGGAGCGGTGAGAGACAGTGGGTGTCCCTTGAGCTAGTTCCATGTCACCTGTGGCTGTGTTTGCTCTAACAAGCTATAGGGAGGCAACCACTGGCTGCTTTGTTTCCAAAAAGTAGGAACAGGCTGAGCCTCCAAAGGGCCAGGAGCCCCTTGGCCTACCTTCTGTCTCCTCCACAAATCAAAAAGCCCCTTAGAGTAGCAGGAGTTCCAGGGTGAAGATCTCTTTGGAGAGGGCAAAAGGGAGGCCTAGACTAGTGTTCACACATCTAATCACTTTCCATCAAGATTTAAATTCCAAGTTGTCATCAATGGCCGAGAGTTTCCCCCAGCTGAAGCTGGCAGCAAGAAAGTGGCCAAGCAGGATGCAGCTATGAAAGCCATGACAGTCCTGCTTGAGGAAGCTAAAGCCAAGGATGGCGGAAGACCGGAAGAATCCTCCTGCTGTTCCACAGAGAGAGAACCGGAGAAGGTGGGTGTCCTGCCCTCCGGGAGGGTGTCGGCTGCTTCTCCGTGTCCGTGAAGGGTCAGGACTGGGCTGGCCCTCTTGGGGGCATCCCAGCCTCCCAGCTGATTACTCACCTCCGTGTCAGTGGCCTGCTCCCACCAGCCCACCTCACCTGCTCACGCCCAGTTCCCCTCCTCCCGAGCCCCCTGACGAAGTAGACCTACAGATTGCAGAGTTGAACGAGATACTAAAGGTCATCAAGTCCCGTCTCCAGATGGGAGACCCAGAACATTTGAGTAACTCACCCTTGCCTATAATGCTTAGAAAATTCCCATAGTCCTCTTTCTTCGGAAAACCGGACTTTCACGTGTAGTTGACCAAAAGAAATTTTCCCGTCGCCATTCCCTCAGCTCTGATGGACTAGCTAATGTTTTCTTAGTTGTTTTTGTTTGTTTTTGTTTGTCTTTGTCTCTCATTTTCTCCAGACTGCAGAGTCCCAGCCCACCACCCCTTCAGCGACTTCCTTCTTTTCTGGGAAGAACCCGGTCACTACATTGCTTGAGTGTGTGCACAAGTTGGGGAGCTCCTGTGAATTCCGCCTCCTATCCAGAGAAGGCCCTGCCCATGACCCCAAGTACATCTCTTGTATCATGTATCTCTGCTGAGGTTTTCTCAAAAAAGAGAGAGATACAGTTCCTCCTTGCCTCCTCAGAGATGGCAGATTATTTCACAGAGCAATCACTCCTGTTTTCGATATGGAAGATGGGGGGCCTTGAGGGCATGGCAGAGAATCTGGGACTAGGAATTCAAAGGGCAAAGCAGGGACCAAGCAGTGGGGAGCTACACGGCTTGGAGGTTATTGGTGGTGGGACAAAACGGTACAAGACCTGGGCATATGTGTGACAAGCTCTGCTCTGAGGCTCTGCAGACTTACATGTGCAAGAGAAGGGTTCCTGGAGGAGGTGACTCTAGGCTGATGCTCACTGTTGAGTAGGGGTCAGCGAGGCTCAGAGAGATGGGGGCAGGAGGAGGGAGAGAGGCACCAGCTCCTCAAGGCGGAAGTGGCTGCATGAGCCAAGGCACAGAGGTGATGTGTGTGAGGAAATGGCAAGTCCTAAAGGATGACAAGCGACAAAGGCTGGGTAAATCTCTTCCGTCGAAACCATTTTAATTCTCCTCTCGTCTCCTGCCAGGTTCCAGTACTGTGTTGCAGTGGGAAACCACACCTTCCCCACTGCGAGTGCCCCCAGCAAGAAAGTGGCAAAGCAGATGGCTGCAGAGGAGGCCATGAAGGCCCTGCACGGGGAGGCGACCAGCTCAACACCTTCTGAGAACCAGGTGGGGCCAGTCCCTACTCGAAAGATGCGGGTCATTTTTAGCAGCAGAATGGTGTAGGATTGCCCATGAATCCCTCAGTTTCCTTAAGTGTTTATGGTGGGTCCCTCTTGGTTTGGCTGATTCTCTTTCAGCCCGGAAGTACCAACACAGAATCGTTTGATAACTTGGAATCTGCGATGCCCAGCAAGGTCAGGAGGATTGGCGAGCTCGTCAGATACCTGAACACCAACCCCGTGGGTGGCCTATTGGAATACGCCCGCTCCCACGGCTTTGCTGCTGAGTTTAAGCTGGTTCACCAGTCCGGACCCCCTCACGAGCCCAAGTGAGTGTTCTGGTGCTGGCGACTGCCACGTGCCACGGGGTGGGGATAGCGTGTAACCCGGGGAGAGAAGGGATGTGCATTGGCTGTGAGTGACGGGACAGGAGGGGCAAGTTGAGGCAAGTCAACAGACAGACAGGGCAAGCCCAGCCCTGTCTCTGCAGCCCCTAGAAGATCAGCCACTTTGAAAGTAGAGTTACTTTTTCGATCTTTTAAAAATTTTTTAACTAATTTTAATTTGAAAGAAGTACATACATACATAGAAAAATCATTCAAGCTGATTCAAAAGGTATGCAAGAAAGTGTCTCATTTCTATCTCGGTTATAGTTTATTTCCCCTTACCCCACATACACTATTATCAGTTTCTTGAGTCCAGAAATGTCCATGAACATATTAGCATAGTTTCCGTTCTGTTTTAAAGAAAAATAAGTACATGACACTTCTTCTGTGCTTTGACTCCTTTACTTACAGAAGTATCTTAGAGGTCATCACAGGTCAGCATATACAGATCAGTGGCACTCGTGCATAGCTGCCTAATGTTTCGTTGAGCAGATGCTGACCGTTTTTAAACAGTTCTACATTAAACCAGAGATGCCGAGGATCTCTTCGAAATTGGACACCGATGTAGTCCCCCTAGTTTACGAAAGTGAGTGTCGGGACTGCCGACACCCTTCCCTTACATAGTGCATTTAACCAGCTTCCAATGACGTTGAGGTTGGTTTCGGTTTCACCAACAGAAACACTCCAGCAGCGACTGCTCGTGCGCCGCGTGCACGTCCGCTCGCGTGTGCGTGCACGTCCGCTCGCGTGTGCGTGCACGTCTGTGGTGTAAACTTCCAGGAGTGGAGTTTCTAGGCCATGGGTCATGTAGGGTTGGGGTTTTTTTTGTTTTTTTTTTTAAGTCTTATTTATTTATTTAATCCTCACCTGAGGGTGTGTTTGTGGATTTTTAGAGGGAGGAAGGTGGGGAGAGAGAAATATGGATACGAGTGAGACTCATCGACCATTTCCCTCCTGTGCAGGCCCCAACGGGGACTGAACCCACAACCCTTGGTGCATTGTGGAGGCTGCTCCAACCACCTGCGCCGTCCTCCAATGAGAATCTCACCAGCTTACGCTTCATCGACAGTGTAGGGTGGGGCAAAGCTAGGTTTACAGTTGTGAGTATGCAGAGCAGTTTATTGTTGTCTTATTTGTTCATTACTGCTTTTCCATACGAACTGCCGTAAACCTACTTGTGCTGCGCCCTGTGGGTGAGAGCGGCACTGTCGCGTTTCTGTCTCTGCCGTTGGGAAACGTGGACAGTGGCTTGTGAGCGCAGTGCCCAGATTAGTCTACACTCGGATATTGTAACTTACCATATTAATAGATCAAAGGAGAGGAATTCCAAAGTCATTTAGTAGAATTCAGCATTTACTCAGACTTTTAAAAAAATCCAGTCTGTGGAATTATTGAGTGCCTCCCTGGCATGATAAAAATATATGTCTGGAGTCAAAAGCCAGCCACTTACCTGGCGTTGAACCTGGAACTGTCCTCTAAGTCAGGAGGAAGGCGTGGACACCAGCGTCATTATTTACTGTTGTCCTGGAACACTGGTTAATGCAGAGAAAGATAAGTATAAAGGGAGGAAAGAGAATGTAAAATTATTATTTGCAGATGACATGATTGTATATATGGAATGTTCATAAGAAAACTGAAGAAATGTTACAGATGAGCGAAAGTTTAGAGCAGGGGAATTACAAAATAATGTATAAGAATAAAGAGCTGTTTTGTATACAGCTGTAAGCAATTAGAAAATACAGCAGGAAAATACCCTATTTGCAACAGCAACTGAAAACATAAACAACGTGGGTATATTCCTCATAAGAAGCGCGAGGTCTGTCCAGAGGGTATCCAGCCATGTAACATGTCTCTGGTTTTCTCTCAGTAAAAAATCTATTTTTAACTTAAGGGCTCTGCCTTAAGTAAAATACAAAAATACATGAAACATTGTACATAGAACAATGACGCCTCAGTCCCCTTCAAAGTAGGCACCTTGGGACCCCACACAGTTCTCCCAGTCACCATCAGCTGCCCCATGTGTTTTCCTGAATCTCATTGATGGTCTGAAATCTCTTCCCTTTCAAAGGTGATTTCAGTTTGGGGAAGAGCCAGAAGTCACAGGGTACCAAATCTGGGCTGTAGGAGGGCTGAGTCACCTGGTGATTTTGATGTTTCACAAAATAATCTATACAAGGTGTGTTATGAAGCTGCCAGTCACCAGCTGCCCACAGCCATGGCCTTCTGAATCATACAAATCGTTTCCATGGAGGAAAGTTCAAGCTTAATGCAAAACCTGATGCAGATTCATTGCTGCACTGACTAGTACAGTGAAGGCGTCACTGTTCAGGCATGTGCATTCCAGTCCACCCGCCTCGGCTGCCAGGTTACATCGGTGTCACACAAACCGTTCTCGCTGTATTAACAGTGGCTGGACGTTTTCCGGACAGATGTGTCATGTGTGGGCTCTGCCTTAAGTGAAATGTTGCTGAAGAACTGAAGGAGGACTAGTGACAAGGGGACAACTGATAGAATGACTTAATGATCATATATTTGTCTCCAGGTTAATCTTCACCTATAATGTGATCCCAAGAAAACACCATTAGAATTTATTTATTTTAGAACTAAAATTTGTTTTAGAACTAGAAGACTTAGATTATAAAGTTCACATGAAAAATAAAGATGCAAGGATAGGAAAACGGAAAGAATAATAAGTAACTGGCCCTAGCAGATGTTAAAATGGTGCCGTCTTGGCGTGAGGGTGGCAAGGTGGCAGGTCAGTGAGACAGAACGAGGCACCTGGGAGCGGACTGAGATGTGAACGGGGCGTTAGTGCGTCAGAAAGACGAGGCTGCAGCCCAGCGGGGAGTGACGGGTCGCTCAGTGATGGTGCTGAGGCTGCTGGCTGTGCGTCCGAGAGGATGACAGCCAGGGTGTCCCCTTCCCTGCACCCAGACCACTGGATCCAGGATTTGAATATAAAGTGAATGAAATCATAAAAGCACTAGATAAAAAGTAGGGACCTTTTTTTTTTTAAAGTTTTGGGGTGGGAAAAGGCCCTTACAGTCAGGACATAAAAAAGTTATAAAGGAAAAAGAAATTGGAGTGTAAGGAAAATTGGTATGTGGTCACAAAGCCCCCAAGAGGAAAAGCCCTTGTGATAAACAGCGGCCCAAGGCTAATTCTTAAATATTAAATACATAAGGGATTCTTTTCAAATCTAATAGAAAAATAGGGAAAATGAAAAGTAATGAATTATTAATAAATGACCAGGTGCTCCTCCTTGCTTTGTCATGAATTACACTTCATCAATGGACTTCAGCAGCAGTGGTGTGATTTACCGTCTACATTGTAGCCAGCGGTGGAGAGCGGCGCCCCTGACCTAGCAGTGCCACCTTTAGGAACACTCTCTCTCTCTCTCTCTCTCTCTCTCTCACACACACACACACACACACACACACACACTATCTGACACAAATACAGAGCTTTGCATTGCAGCATAGCAATGCATTTCAAGCACCAGACTTGAAATGGCATGAAGTTCCATCATTTGCAGACTGGTTAAGTGACCCATCGCGTGTGGACACTTAGGCAGCCAGAATAAACGGGGAGACGCATCTGTGTGAAACCACCTCCGGTTCCTAGTGAAAAAGCAAAAGGCGTAAAGTGAGGGGAGAGAGATAAGTAGCATACTTACATATGCATAGAATATTTTCGTGAAAGATTAAAAATCCTGCTAATCGTATTTGCTTCTAGGGAAAGAGGGGCACTTACTTTCATTGTACAGTTATACTCTTAACTATTTGGATTTTTACTTGTGGAGTAGTCCTTTTAAGGAAAACTCATAAAAATGGTATCTTGTATCTTAGTTTGTTTCGGTAATAGGCAGTGTTATTCATCTATTCCTGGTTATATGTTATCCATACTTCCTTTCCTGTGAACCACTTGCTCTTGTCCTTGTCCATCTTTCCTCTGGCTCGTCCCTCCTTACTGGCACTAAGAGCATTTAACACCATTGAAAACTAGTGCTTAGACCCCGTGCCCCAGTTTAGAACAGTCAGCGGAGAGGGGCCGGCTGCCTGTAGAATGCGCTAGGCCGGCGGGCCTCTGCCCTCTGTTTAAAGCCGCTCAGAGGGGAGGGGTGCGGTCTCCCTCCAGCTGCCTTTCTCCTCGTTCACGCCCGTCGCACTCCCTGTCTTCAACCTCATCCTCCAGCTGGTGGGTTTATCCATTTCTTCTTTACTTCAGTAGTCTTCCATAGCTCTTCTCTGGGACTTCACGTCAGTCATGCATTTGAACTTAAGAACTCACTGTGAACTAGATCGGAGATTCAGAAACCACCGGCCCCGCGACGTACTGCAGACGTGTGATCCCAGCACAGCAGCGTCCCAATGGAGGTGCTGCCCTGTGCGGTGGGGACCTGGTGCGCCGTGTGGCCTGTGTCTCCTGGGGGGGTTGAGGAGGTCGCAGGGGTGGGGAAATGCTAATTTAGAAGCTACAATTTAAAAAATATTTTATTTATTTATTTATTTATTTTTAGAGAGGGGATGGGAAGGAGGAAGAAAGGGAGAGAAACATCAATGTGTGGTTGCCTCTCATGTGTCCCCCACTGGGGACCTGGCCCTCAACCCAGGCATGTGCCCTGACTGGGAATCGAACCAGTGACCCTTTGCTTCACAGGCCCATGTTCAATCCACTGAGCTACACCAGCCAGGGCAAAAAGCTACAATTGTTGAACATCTAGTACACATGTTAACTTCCTTCTTACTGTGAATGATCCCAGGTCATATTTTTTCCCTTTTTTTCTTGGCAACCTTCAGCAACTTCACGACTTTTAATATCGAAATGATGGAGACCTTTCCAGAGCCCCAGAATCCTCTCTGTCCAGCTGCTTACTTGTCATTTATTCTTGGACAAACATCTAATAACGACATGTCCAAAGCAGAACTCTTGATTTTCGCTCCCTTCAGCTCTTTCATTCTGGGTCTTTCCCATCTCAGGAGAGGCCGGCACTGCGCATCCTCAGGCTCCGTTTATTTCTGTCCCGAATCCCTTCCTCTTCCTCCTCCACTGTTACCCTCTGGGTTAAGCCACTGTCCTCTCTCACATAACCCCTGGCAGTATGTGCTGATCTCCCTGCTTTATTCACTCAACAGGTATTTATTTGTTAGTATAGGAGCCAGATACTAATAATCACGTGAAATGTAGCTCCCTCGTTGATACACACTACAAAGGCTGGAGTTGCATGATGCAGTCAGCGAGGATCTACGTGGCCTGACTTGACTCAGTTAAGGAGAGGGGAGGGGGCTTCCCTGAGAAGCGAGGAAGATGAAGAGAATGCACTACAGACCCTTCTTCCCAGTGCAGGGTTATAACGGAGGTGAGGGTGAAGGTGGAGGGTGCTAGGCAGAGGCGAGAGTCCCCTGCAGTGCTGTGGCGGGAAGCCTGGCACCAAGTGAGACTGGAGGGTGAGGGGCCCCCCAGGGCCTGCGATGCCTGTAGTCTTTACCACACAAGCCGAGGAAACCCACTAAAGGGTTCTAGGTAAGGGGCTGCCACTTGTCCCCACTCCACTTTTTCCCTCTTCCCAGCATTTTTGTACTGAGTTTTCTTTCCTACTCTGAAAAAACTATTTCAGACCTTTGCCTTTGTGCACATTTCTACCAAAACCCCTTCTCCTCATGCTAAACTGGTGGCCTTAATTCACACTTAACTGAGAAAATAGCGATACTCAGGTGACAGATATTTTACCTTGTCACCAGCAAGTTCCCCTCCCTGCCTGCCTCGTCCTTCTCTCTGCAGCAGCTGCAGTAAGCATCTCTCCCCGTCCCTGTGCCCAGGGGGCCCCTTGCCTCTCGTCTGCGCCCTCGGTCGCCTCTCTCCCTCGTCACCAGCCACTCCCTCTGTTAGGACATCCCCGCCAGCCTGTCCACACGGCCATGAGGCCATGCCTGCTTTAGGGACCTTCCCTCGACCCCACACCCCCTCCCAGGACCACCTCATCTCTGCTGCCCTCAGAGCCAGACCTCTCCAAAGAGTTATTTATAGTCTTTGTCTTCACTTTCTTAACTCATTCCAGGGCAGCTTCTGTCCCTAGCATTTCACTGAAAAGGCTAAGTACCAGCCATAGTGGCTAGTGAGCATTTGTGGTTATTGAGCATTTGCGAGGTGGCTAGTGTGACTGAGGAACTGAGTTACTAATTGCATTGAATTTTAATTAAAGTTAATAGTGTTATGTGGACAGTGCTGCTCTAAAGGATTCTATTTGCATAATTCACCAGTCCCATCAGATGCATCTGTGATGCATGTTCAAACACATGGCACCCTCGTGAAATTCTCGGGACCCCTCTGGCAGAGATCCTGCGTGGTTTAGCCCTCCACCAGCTCTCCGGTGTCGTTCAGTCCACTGTCCCTCTCCGTCACTGAACCTCAGCCCACTGTCCTGCACGAACCTGCTGGCAGCAGCAGGTAAGGAGCGAAGGCTCCTAGTGCTTCAGATGAGCAAGGACGCTCCTCGTGGCTGCCCACGAAGATCAGTTCCCGTCACCACCCGAGCTGCCAAGTCTTGATACCGAAGCCTTTCCCATACGCACTCGGATTAGCCAAAGCAGGGTCCCCAGCCAGCAGACTAGGATCTGGTTAAAATCCAGGGCTCTTGAACCCTGGTTCAGTTGATGCCCCAGCCGTTTTGCTCCATCCTACTCTCCCCTCTGTGTGTGAGACCCCCTGCCAGGAAGGGAGGGGCCCCAGCAGCACTGCCCGCCTCCCTGCTCCCCCCAGCGCCGTACGGGTCAGCAGGGCTCACGTGCCCCAGGTACCCTCCTGTCTCCTGATACCCATATCAAGGCTTTCAGGAATCCAAAAGTGTCTCCTCATGAAAATTGGGCTCCCTGGTCTAAGGCAGACCTTGACAGTTTGACTTCTTGAGGTTAAGTCCTCTCGAGCTGATGAGGAAATGGAATCAGGTAAGTTGGAGTGTTAAATGCCGGTGGTTCAAGCGGGGAGAAAGCTATTTGCTTCTCATTTCTGCTTAGGAAGAAAGTCTGTGCCGGACATTAGTGTTTCTTTACTCCCTCTCGGACTCGCCGAAGTTCCTCCACGACAAAGACCGGCCTGGGGCCTGCAGGCGGCGGCGTCTGCTCAGGATTTCATCGCACTGACTTCACAGCCGCCTTCAGATGGTGGCGAGTGACACGGTTTTTCATCCACAGCATGGTGTTTCCTTTTTAAACATGTTTACATTCTAGAAGAGCGAGTTCAGGGGACAATGTTTCGTAAAGAGCAGTCTGGGTGGCGTCTGAATCTAGCAGAAACTGCCTTGCAGTCCCTGAGCATCCTGAGTCTGGGCAGCGCCGCCTCGGACAGGGCTGTGCAAGTGACGGGCCTCCTGCTGGCAGGACCGCTGCCCCTCTGGCAACGTCGGCCCTTCCCTGCAGCCACCATCGAGTTCAGGGGCTTGTCTTGATCCCCTGCTTCTCATCCCAAAGGTTTGTTTACCAAGCAAAAGTCGGAGGTCGCTGGTTCCCAGCCGTCTGCGCGCACAGCAAGAAGCAAGGCAAGCAGGAGGCAGCGGACGCCGCTCTCCGTGTGCTGATTGGGGAGAACGAGAAGGCAGAGCGCATGGGTTTCACAGAGGTAACCCCAGTGACAGGGGCCGGTCTCAGAAGAACTATGCTTCTCCTCTCAAGGTCCCCAGAAGCACAGCCAGAGACAGTTAAGACGTCTACTTTTGTGCTATCTTTCTTGGGGGTCTAGCCAGCTCCCATCTGGGTGGAGTTAGCTTTTAAGTTGCTATTACATGAATTATTCCTGGGCTTTAATATTAGCCTCATAGAACATGGAACCGGGACACTAGGTGTGAGGGGAAAGACGGTTCACAGTCGTGTGAACGTTATCTCCCTGCCCAGTCCAAGACGAGGTGGCCATGGCCCAGGCTCGCGGCCCTGACACGCGTCCTGTCCCCGCAGCTCCCTCTCACCGGCAGCACCTTCCACGACCAGATAGCCATGCTGAGCCACCGGTGCTTCAACGCTCTCACCAACAGTTTCCAGCCCTCCTTGCTCGGCCGCAAGATCCTGGCTGCTATCATCATGAAGAAGGACTCCGAAGATCTGGGGGTTGTGGTCAGCTTGGGGACAGGTCAGTGAGGCTCGGAGGCGTGCGCCCCCAGCATGGAGCCTGGGAGCAGGTCTGGCCATTCTCTCCTGGTGTCCCATGGGGGCGAGTTTGAGGCGGGGGAAAGAGACCTACTTGCCTTTTAGTGCGGCCACAGTTAATTCTGAGTGGGGAGTGAATTCTCATTTTCCGGGGAAGAGAGTGTAGGAGTCAGGGTTGATCCGTTGAGGGCATCTCTGCCTTCAAGCCCTAAGCACAGACAGCCCCCCCCCGCCCCCCCCCGCCCCCCGTCATCACTTCCTTTGGAAATGGCCCGTTTACCACCTGTGCCCTTCCAGGGAATCGCTGTGTGAAAGGAGACTCTCTGAGCCTGAAGGGGGAGACCGTCAACGACTGTCACGCGGAGATCATTTCCCGCAGGGGCTTCATCAGGTGAGTGGGACCTGCGGCACAACGGCCACATCTGCTGCCAGCCAGCGCGGAGGCCGGCACCCAGTGGACAGGCAGGCTGCTGACCGCAGTGTTGGCCATTTGAGCCCGTGGCCCGGGCACGCCCACTTCTCGGCCTGTGGTTAAGTGCTCTCCCTTCCTCTGCTAACTTGGCTTCGTGCCTTTTTTAAAAAGCACAGAATGACCTCAGGGATGAGGAAGGATTTCAGGATCTTTTAAACTGCTGGCCAGCCAGCTTGCTTCTCCAGTTTACCTTTCCTTTATTGTGGAGGGACTTGGGGAGAAGCCACAGCCCCTGTGGCCCATGAATCTGTCTGCTCTGCCCTGGGATCCCTGCACCGGCCCCAGCAGGGAGCTCCTGGCAGAAGGGGAACTGGCCCTGGCTGACCGGGGTTCGGAAATGCTGAGGTCTCCCGTGGAGAGCTTCTTACCACCTCTTTCTCCCTGAGGAACCGTGGCAGGTCCGCAGCATTTAGGCTTTTCTCCCTTGAGGTCAGAGCACAGAACAGCCGCTCTCCCCAGAATCACACGTTTTCTCAGCCAGGCTTCCTTGTAGGTTTCTCTACAATGAGCTGATGAAGTACAACCCCCAGACTGCGAAGGACAGCATATTTGAACCTGCTCGGGGAGGAGAGAAGCTCCAGATAAAGAAGACCGTGTCATTTCATCTCTACATCAGGTCTGCCCCACCTGTCGCCACCTGCAGCCCTGCCTCGTTGCCCAGTGGGGTGTCAGCACGCTCCCCTGGTCCCTAGGTCAAAGCCGATTCCTCGGCCCCCCTCAGTCCTGGTGTGGAATGAGCCCCACATATAGTCTGCCCGCCAGGGTCACCTGTGACAGGCTTCAGAAAAAGTCCCTTGCCCCCACAGCGTGGGGCAGTTCTGGAGCTCAGGGAGTGGGAAACGCCTGCAGGGCGAGTTTTAACAGCGGCCCCTGTTGCGCAGCACGGCCCCGTGCGGGGACGGCGCCCTCTTTGACAAGTCCTGCAGCGACCGTGCGGTGGAGAGCACAGACTCCCGCCACTACCCTGTCTTCGAGAACCCCAAACAAGGCAAGCTCCGCACCAAGGTAGAGAACGGTGAGTGGCGTGGCCTGCCTCCCCCGCCAAAGGCTCTGCAGAACCCAGGCCCCGCACTGGCTCGAGGACACAGCAGCCAGGGGTTTGCCATCAGCTGCCAGGGTGGTAGCATCTTGTTCGCAGGGGGAGGGGAGGTCCGGGTCAGGGAGCTGTCTGCAGGAAGATGAAGATCGAGTAGGAGGCAGAGGTAACCATGTAGAGCTCAGAGGCGAGGGCCTGGCTGCAAGTGGTGTGTGGGAGTCAACCTCCTACAGTGGATCTTTCCGCCCCTGGGGACGGATAGGGTCGCCTCTGGGGAGGGCGGAGAGAAGAGGTGGTGCAGACCCAAGCCCTGTGGGGTGGGACTCCCGCCACGTGCCTGGCCCCCTAGGGTTTGCTGCCAGTTCTGCGCCTTGTCTGCCCACTCCTTCTCCACTGGCCTCTGACGTCTCTTACTGTCTCCTCACGGCCGCTCCTGTTCCCCTCTGCAGTCGTCGGAGCAACCCTCACACGTGAATCAGATCATGTCACTTCCCCGTTCACAGTCCTCAAGCTGCTCTTAGGTCTTTCTCTCCAAGAGAAATGAAGAGCTTTGTCCACACAAAATGTGCATGTGAAAGTTCACAGCAAGTGAACTTTATTTACTTATCATACAAAAAGTGGGGACAACCGAATGCCCTAACTGATAAATGGAGAAACCAGGAGAGATGCACCCACACTGTGGAATGTTACTCGGCCTGGAAAATGAGTGAAGCACCGTACATGCCGCAGCACGGGTGGGCCTTGAAAACAAGTGAAAGAAACCAGACACAACAGGTCACATATGTGGTTCCATTTACATAAAGTATTCAGAATAGACAAAGCCATAGAAACAAAGTAAATTACAGGTTGCTGAGAGGTGGGAGGGGTCAGGGGAGACGGGGTGGGCCTGCTAACGGAGGTTTCTTTTGGGGACAATAAAATGCTTTTAAATCGGTAGGGGTGATGGTTGCACAACCAGGAACACACTGAAAAGTCACCGAGTTGTACGCTGCAAGTGGGTGAGCGCTCTCACTACAGCTGTCACGTAGAACAGAACAAACCGCCGCCCTCTGATGGTTTCCCACTCCCTGTCACGTCAAAGCGAACCCTGCATCGTCACCTGCCTCAGCTCCCTGAACAGCCCACCCTCTTGCTGCCTCAGGGGCTCTGCTTTTGCTGTTCTGTGTATCTGAACACACTCGGCTATTCTTTCTCCTTCACGTCCCCCTGGCGGTTGTACCCCAAGGGTCCCCTGCTGTCCCTCAAAGCCTTCGGAGCACAGGTACCACCTAGAAGCCGTGCGTCTGTGTCGGTTTATCGCCTGCTGTCTGGCCCGTTTCCTTTCTGTCCTCACACCTTCATGAACGTTCTGGGAGGATAAGGAGCTTAGTCGCTCACGGTGATTATCCAGCACCAAGCACCTACTGTGCAGCGCCCTGTACACAGTAGGTGCTGTGGGATGTATAAAGAACAAAGGCGTGAGTAGCCTGTGGCCCGAGTCTGAGGAGCAAACACTGCACTCTGGCCCAGGGGTCTGACCCAGGTCTCTCACAGGGGAAGGCACGATCCCAGTGGAGTCCAGCGACATTGTGCCTACGTGGGACGGCATTCGGCTCGGGGAGAGACTCCGTACCATGTCCTGTAGTGACAAAATCCTGCGCTGGAACGTGCTGGGCCTGCAAGGGGCGCTGTTGACCCACTTCCTACATCCCGTGTATCTCAAATCTGTCACACTGGGTAAGGGACCTGTCTTGGGAGCTGGGACTAGTCTGTCCTGGTGCCCGCATCTCAGCAGACTGCATGCTTCGTGGCCAGGTGTTAGCGTGAAATCTCCCCTCTCAAAGTGTGTTTGATTCGGTCGTCAGTGATTGATTTAGTGCATGGGTCTGTCACGCTGGGGAGATGGATTTAGGCAGCAAGCCCAGGTAAGGACGTGCCGGGCAGGTTTCTTCGAGATGAACTAAAGAAGCACAGCAGCCTAAGACTGCAGTGTCTCTGCTTCCTCGACCTCCCTGGCCCTGACCTTTACCTGGAACACATATTCAGCAGTCGCAACCACAGCCACAGTTCCGCCTTCTTAACGAGGGAGCTGTTTCTCCCTCGTTGTCTCCCTGACAGCTCAGTTGTGTGCCCTCAGACGCCCCCCGCCCCAGCAGGCCTCTGCTCGGTCAGAATTTGGCACAAATGCAGGTGTGCACGTTTCTTTTTCATATCCAGGTTACCTTTTCAGCCAAGGGCATTTGACGCGCGCCATTTGCTGTCGTGTGACAAGAGATGGGAGTGCATTTGAGGACGGACTGCGACACCCCTTTATTGTCAACCACCCCAAGGTGCTCTGTGTAACCCCTTCTGTTTTTCCCTTGACGTTTTTCTCCTTTTCGAGTAATCTGCGTGCAGAGTAGAAATGCGCAGTGTAGTCAAAGCGAACTTACCCTTTCCTTCTTTTGATTGCCAGAGGCTGCCCTCCTTTTTGTCTTGAATTCGTCTGAATCTAGGAGTTAGTGTACCCCGTGTCACAGTCATGCAGAACCCTACAGAAGGGGGAAGGTCGTGAGCCCTCGGTCCCTTTTCCCTCTGAGTCCCGAGTCCCTGCTTCAACACCTCTTCCCTGAGCGGTTTTCATCTTTTTCCCGGTGCTCCTGGGACTCCTAGGTCGGCCGAGTCAGCGTATATGATTCCAAAAGGCAGTCCGGGAAGACCAAGGAGACAAGTGTCAACTGGTGTTTGGCCGACGGCTATGACCTGGAGATCCTGGATGGGACCAGGGGCACCGTGGACGGGTAAGGAGTGGGGAGCACAGAGCGGCCGCAGGGGTGACACGCTTGCCAGTCTCCAGAGCTGCCCTCCCCACCGTGCTGTCCCTCCCCAGGCTCCCCGCCTTTTCCAGCTTCAGCCGAGTGATGAATGCCTTTTGTTTTTTCAGGCCACGGAATGAATTGTCCCGGGTCTCCAAAAAGAACATTTTTTTTCTATTTAAGAGGCTCTGTTCCTTCCGGGGCCGCAGAGATCTACTTAAACTCTCCTATGGTGAGGCCAAGAAAGCTGCCCGTGACTATGAGACAGCCAAGAACTATTTCAAAAAAAGCCTGAAGGACATGGGCTATGGGAACTGGATAAGCAAGCCCCAGGAGGAAAAGAACTTCTACCTCTGCCCAGTATAGTGCCATCCCGTGACCGGGCACTGGGCAGTGGAGGGAGGGGCGCTTCACACCGGTGAGAGATAGGTCGGAGCGCCCCTCATCACACTGGACGTGGGAGCCTTCTTTTCTTTCTCTTCCCCTTTTAATGGAACCACAGTTGCTGGTACCGAGACCTTGGGGTTCCTGTTGGTCCTGCTTCCTCTGGGGAAACCAGGCCGGTTCTTTCCGGGCCCCTTTTCTTTTCCCAAGCAACGAGGCAGAGACCTGAGGGGAGAGAAAAGGGGCTCTGTCGTCTGTCCACCCGACGCCTGAGCAGTCACTGAGCACCTGCCGCCATTTCCTCTTCCGTCCGGTTTGGGTTTTTTCCATTTCCTTTCCCTCTGTCTGCTTTCCCGACCAGTCAGCTCTGTGAGTCGTGTCAGGGACTGACGAGCTCATTTGTGCTGATCTCATCTGCGATCCCCTGTGATTCCCCTCCACCCCTTCTACAGTCGTATTTCTCATTTTCCTCCAAGCAGGTAAAGAGGGGACCTAAAGAATCTGTGAGGCAATTAGAAGGGCAGGAGTTTGAAACTGCAGTCAGTTATTCCTGGTGCCCGGTGTGACTGGGATCTGCAGGTAGTACTCATCGATCTTCGGATCTTGCACTTTAGCCAGCTCGGGAGGGACCCAGAGGCAGGGAAGGCGAGGGCCAGCCAGACTGGGTGAGGCGCCCCCTGCAGGGCTGTTCAGTCCATTTCCTGGGGAGCACAGACATGCCTGGGCGTGTCGCCAGGCCCCCAGCTGTCCCTCCTAAAGCATTCCTAGGAATTTGCCCTACCAGTTCGGGGATTAGGGCCTGGAGGGCAAGTCCTCCTGCCTTAAGTAAATAGGACTTAGCAAGGACAAGGCAGAAACGATGTCGAGTCAGATGGCCGTCCTACCTAACATATTTCTCACTACAGTGACCCCAGGGGAGGCTAGTTAACTGTGGGTGAATTAGGAGTGTTTAAAAGAATGCCATAACCTGTCATTGCACAGATTGAAATTCAGATATAATTTTCCATTTACCCAAGCATTTATCATGCTTTTGTTTTGCTAGATAGCTTCAGAAGGCTGTCTGTGGGCAGGTCGCAGGCCTGAGGTCTCCCTGCCTGGTAGGGAGTCTACAGGGTTGACAGCAGTTGTAGGGAAAAGGCAGGTTGTCCTCAAATTCTGTGAGGTGGAGCCCCTGGTCTACTCCTCAAGCTAATGACACTTGTGGTCCAAGCATCGGCCTCTCTGTGGGGTCCGGCTCTGGGCCAAAGTCAGGCACACATGCCCCAGAGAGGCACAGAGGCCCTGCCACCTTGTGAGCTGAGCTGGCCTCGTTGGAGGACTCTTCTCTCTTCACCTGCGAACATGCCGAGCCTGCGCCCTTGATGGTTTCCCACCCACTGCTGACTAGCCAACCCCACCCGTCCCCCCTCTTCAACAGTAGGTTTGTCCACATTTACACTTTTGTTCTTGTAGCTGCTATTCCCGAAAACTGACCAAATGAGAAACCCAAGTTTTATGAACACACTAAGGGTGTCTTTGCAGAACATCCAAGTGTCCCGAGGAGCTTGTAGGGAAACGGCGCCTGTCTTCCGGAGCAGCGGGAGCCTGCCTGCCCACAGCCTGTGCGTCTGCAGAAGGCACGCGAGTCAGTCCTGCCTCAGAGGCTCAGGCTGGAGCGTGTCACCCACTGGTTCCTCAGAACGTTGCCCCCTCTGGTCCATCTCAGGCACTAGAATATCTGGCTTAGCTCTGTAACCAGGAGCACAGGGCACTCAAAAGACCAGAGACCCCACTCACCCCAGCGTCTTATCTGGCAACCTTGCAGTGTTTGGTTTCTGCTGTAGGAAGAAAGCAGGGCACCCTGAACCCCCTGTGTCTGCTGGAAGCAAGCCTGCGTCGGGCCCTGCACGGCCCCCATGCCCCTCGGTCACACAGGACAGAGGAGGCAGAGCCCGTGCCTAAACTGTTCACTTTCTTGTCCACTCTTTGTTTTTAATAAGCAGGACCCCCTCCTGCCTCTCCCCCTACCTTTTTTAAAATGATCTTTGTAGTTGATTTGTCTGAACTGTGGCTATTGTGCATTCTTTTGAGTAATCACTTGTAAAAATTGTCGCTGCTTGAAGCTACTTCCTTTACTCACTTCAAAGGGATTTTGCCGGTGTTGGGGGTCTCAGCAGAGACTCCCAAGAGCAGAGTACGGGAGAGCCCCGTGGGGACTTGGGTGTCCGATGGCTGCAGTCAGGTTTTGATTCTGCTTTGTGTGCCCCTTGATTACAGTGACTAACCGTATACATTCCTCCTGAATAAAAGATCTGAATTGGTAGAAAGTCTCATGTCCTGGTTTCTTGGGGCAGTGACAGTGAGGTCAGAGGGCCCTCTGCCAACGACTGCACCTGGTGCCTGGGGAGAGGGCCGCCCTCTGCCCGCAGGAAGGTGCCATTTTATTGGCCTGTCTGGGAGGCGAGCTTGTGTCTGGGTGGGGTGAGCTACACCAGGTACACATCCCCCTCCAACCCTATCAGAACCTACCCTTAAATGCCTGATTCTCAGAGACTTCACAGGCAAGATTTCAAGGCCCAGGGGACGAAAATGTCCCTCGAGAACTGTATTACCAATCACACACAGAACTCCCCTCCGTGACCGAGGCGGTTCTACGCCCCACCCACACGCCCGCTCTGGGGCCTGGAGGGCTGTGCCTGTTGGGAGTTGAGTGGCAGTCTGAACCAGGGCTGGCTGGCTTGCCTGCATTCTCAGGAGACCGGCCATTCGCCTTTCATAGATGGCATCCAGAATATTTCTCCGTCTTGAATTTCAAAGAATGCACCACTTTCCACATTGTCATTTAGTTCAGAATTTCTACAGGGCTCATCCTTGACCATTTAAAAATGATATGCCAGAGGGCAGGGCGGGCCTAAGTCACAGCAAAGCCTGCTTCCTCATCCGTCACACAACAGCTGGGCAGCAGGGCCAGTGACAAGCTTGGGGGCCCAGGAGGACTCCAGGTGTCACACGGGTGCTGGGTGACCCAGACAGGGAAGGGTGATGTGTCTGCCTACTAGGGTGCCCCAGGCCCCTTAGGCACCATCTGGTTCTCGGACAATTCCTGGTTCCACCTGGAGGGAAACGTAACGCCTGGGTATTTCAGAATGAGGACAGTTTCCTTCGTACCTGCAACAAGTGCCAGGTGCAGCTGTGGAGGGAGCAAGACTGTCCCCCACCACGCACCTCTGACTGGACAGGAGAGCAGACTGCCCTGCGGGACCACGGTTTTCTTCAGTTGTTGGTGACCCTGCGTTTCATCTAGGGGGCCCACTGTCTAATACTGGCTTGAGGAGTTGGGACCAGAACACACTAGTGTTCTGGGAGCAGTTCTGGCCCCCACGCAGACCATGGCCTTGACTTCTCAGAGCTCAGGGAGAGGAGGCCCCAGCCATCCCTGCCTCCAGGAGACTGGCCCTCCCTGGAGCTTTTCCTGGGCTCCGTCTACTACAGGCCCAGGGATTTCATCTCCATCTGATGGGCAGACTCGTAAGGCAACACATCACAATAATGGAACTGTTACCACTGGCCTTTGCTTTAATTTTCTTTAGAAAACTGCATGAGTGCAGCTTCCCCGAGTTCTCCGTTTTTCTCACGCGGCCCCAGTCCCTGAGGACCCTCCCCACCTCCCAATAAAGAGACAAAACATCTTTGGAAACAACTTGTCTTTACGAGAATCTTGAGTTCCTAATGCATCTGGCCCGGGGTGAGCTAAACAGTGCAAATATTCCAGGAAGACACACAAGGGAGGCCAACCAGGGCCAGTGTCGGGGAGGGGGCACCGTGGGCGGACGAGTGAGGTGCCCTAACGATACCTCGCCCTGCAGTCCCTTAGCAACGGCAGGACTCACACTGACTGCTTGGACCTGTCGGGATACGTCTCAAGAGGTGGCTGCTTGTCCTCAGTCTAGTCTGGCCGGGTGAGTGGGGGGCTGGTCAGCAACAGTGGGCTGTGAGGTGCACAGTGACACCAGCCCAGCTGCCTAGAAGCAGAGGGTGGCAGCTGGGTCTGGGGCCACTCTGGCTTGGGAACAAACTCAGAGCAGACCCGATGCCCTGACTTTGCTGCTTCCTGCCTCAGAGGCCACCTGTCAGGCCCAGCACTGCTCGCTAGCCTCCCTTGGTCTCTCTGAGCCTAGTTCTTACTTCTGTCAACAGGGCACCTTCCCTGCAGGGTCACGGTGAGGGATAGAGACAGTGCAGCTGAAGCACGTGGCACGGAGCAGGCTCTTAGCAAACAGTAGCTATGCCGGAAGTGGGAGGAGACAGGACCAGAGTCAAAGCTCCAAAATCTCCGCAGAGCATTCCCCCCCCCCCCCTTACAGGGAGCCAGGGCTGCCTCTGCGGGAAGTGCCAGCAGAGGGCTGCCCCTGTCTGGTTCGCAGTAACTCAGTAGCAGCTGTTCGAGTATCAGCTCCCTCGCTGCCAGGAAACTGCCTCCCCCGCGGCACTGACAACTGTCCAAAGCAGAGAGTCTGCGCAAAACCTCTTTTCAGACAAAAATGTCTACAGAACACCCATGGTCTCGCCGTTTCTGACAGAGACCACCCCAAAGTCTCTCCTCACTCTAGCCCACCTCACTCAGGTATCTCCCTTCCTCTTCAGGTCTGGGGCCCCAGTCCTTGCCCAGTGCCAAGCCGGCTACCGATTCTCTAGAGAGACGGCCGCACCGCAGAGGGGCAAGGCGCCGCCCAGATGAAACCAAGGGAAGAGGACAGAGGACCTGAGAATGGAAGAGACTAGTTCTCCAAACCCGGTACTGACGTGTGACACCTGGCTCGTGCAGCGGCGACCTCCTCCCTGCCCCTCTGCCCTCGCCGCCCTACTGGGATGGTCCCCAAAGGGCAGCAGCCAGAGGTGGAGGGAATGGCGCCACTCCACGGACAGCCCCCCAGTTAACCCCTCGAGTACATCGACCCTCTCTTCCTTGCTGCATCCCTCAGCCTACTGATCACCTCTGTTTACAAAAGAGGGGGAGCAAGTTCAGAGCTAGGTGCTTGTGCAAGGTCAGGCAGCAAACGCCGTCCAGGCCTGTTTCCTGGTGTCAGATGGGTCGTGGAGCGGATTTGGAGAAGCTGCTCTCTGAGCCGTCTGCTGACTGCCTTGGACAACAGCCACTTGGGAAGTACTGAAAGCATGTACAGCCACCAGCAGCAGCCGATGGGGCCAGAAGCCTGGGAGAGCTGGCCCGGCGGGCCCCAGGCCAGCACCCCACCCTTCCTTTCCAGTTGCTATTTCAGGTTCTGGGCTGTTTCTTCAGGGCTATGAGTTTGAGGCAGGTCTCAGCATAATGCAGGCAACTGGAAATTTGCTGTTATATTTTGCTTGAGGAAAAAAGGACTCATGGCCATGGTCAACAGTGGGTGATTGCAGGGAGAAGGGGGTAGAAGGGGGATAAACAGAAATAGAAAACAATACAATAAAAATAAATCAATCTGCTGTTCTAGAAGGGAGTGTCCATGGAGCCAAGACACTACCCCTCGGAAGAAATGTTGCAGAAGCCTGCTCTGGCAGATGGGTGGCAGCACTGGGGACAAGGCACGCGACAGCAGCAGGGTTAGGTCAGCAGAGGGCTCTGAGCGGGCACCTGCATGGGGAGGAGCTGACCGAAGGGAGGTTGAGGCCAATGCCAGAGCTCTCAACCCAGGAGTAGCATGAGACTCTGCCGAAGACGCCCAGGAGAGGCCCGCCCGCCAGACTCACAGGCATTCCCTCCCGCTCGCAGGTTCCCTGGGGCCAAGGCCTTGTTCTGGGGCACTTGGTTTGTCCAAGGAAGAGGTAGGGTAAGCGAGGGTCTGAGGGGGAGGCAGACAAGACAAGGGACCCCATTCCCATTGGATGGGACTGCCTCACATTCACAGAGCGCCCTCTCTGTGCCAGGGGAAGCACTGGGCTTTCTCACAAACGCCGCCCCATCCTCAGGGCAATCCCACAAAGAGGGCATCACTGTCTGCATCTGACAGGTGAGGAAGCTGAGACCCAGCAAGGCAGAGACACCCTCCAGATGGCCAAGGAAGCAGCACAGCTGGGACTAGAGTCCAGAATGCGATCCCAGGGCTCGCAGGTGCCACGTGTGTCCTCTCACCCACTGGCACCTCGCCCCCACCCCAAACTGCGCTGTGCCTGGAGAAGCAGGGGCCCAGCTGGACACGAGAACAGCACGGTCTGTACGTGGCAGGCTCCTCAGTGCACTTGACAGACTGACCCCTCTGTGACCAGCCACCTGCTGGCCCAGCACTGAGCACAGGCTGGGACCATAAATCAGAGCCTGTCATGTGGCAGGGACAGGGACAGAAGAACTCAGAACAGGTCTGTTTCCTATGCTAACAGGCCAGGTGGCCTCCAGCTGTCCCCTGGGAGCAGTGTCAGAATACGGCCTCCAGGGACTCACAGGACGGGATGCTTTCAGGGGAGCTGCTGGCAGTGGCACCCCGTCCCACTGCAGCCTCGCTCAGGTTTGGGTCGGGGGGCAGGGCGCAAGCAGGAAGAGCGGATCCCTGAAGAGAAGGGCGGAGCAGGAGCAGTGCTGATGTGGCCACTCTCTCTGCAGCCAGCTCTGCTTTGGGCAAAAAGGCTGGGTCTGCTTACAGCTAACATCTTTTCTTCATTTACTACAAACAACTGGTCAGAGTTCAACTTTGAGGGTGAAAAACAGCCTGTGGATGTGACCTCAGGCTCCAAGCAGGTCATGCAAAGACTCGAAACGCAGAGGCTCCCCAATACCCAGCCTTGTCCACCACACCCTGGCCGGGCAGGAGAGGAACAAAAGCCCAGGGGTTGTGGAGAATTCTTCATGGGAGAAGGAGAACTGGGGCTGAGCTCTGGACCCCTCAGGAGCAAGGGGCGGTGGGTCTGGGCTGAGCAGCAAGCAGGCTAAGCCTCTGGGCAGGACCCTCCCCCGCCCAGCCACTGTCCACTGGGGCAGGGGCGGGTGTGAGGCTGCTCCTCCCTTCTGAGCTGCCTCGTGTCCAGCCAGCCTGGCACAGAGTCGGGGGCCCTGTTCCTCCTCCCCACGTCCCTTCTCGTGATTCGGAGGCAACAGATGATGCTGCCCCTTGGCCCCTTCCCCTTCACACTGCCTTCAGGCTGGACATCTCCGACATCTCTGTCCTCTTCTTCTCAGCTTCTGTCCTCGACTGGCAGCACTCTTGCCTGGTTTGGTGCAAGAGCAGGAGCGCAGCTGGCCCAGCCTCCAGCTGGAGCTGGCTGCGAGTGGGCTGAGGTGTGGGTGGGGGCAGGGGCTCTGGGCAATGTGAAAGAATGGATCTTTGTGGGCAGCGACCCTTTCCTGGTAGCTCATCCACCTCCACCCAAAACTACTGTACGATGGAGGACAAAGGGGTGAAGGATCATGGAGCCGGGACCTCACTTGGAGCTGGGAGCCGAGTGATCTGCGTGGAGGAAGGTAGCAGTGGTGTAGTTTTGGAAGAGAGGCTGTAGGAACATTCCGATGGTGCCAAAGACACAGACGAAGACAAAGATCCAAAGGAACAGGCGGTCGATCACCATGGCAACATACTTCCAGTCCTCACTCACCTGCACGGGAGACAAATGATGCCCAGGTGTATCAGTCACATGATGCAGATAGGAGTGAGGTGGCTATAAGCAGGTCACACCTTACACACATACGTTACTCTCTCCCTCCATGACCCTAGAGTGACCTTTCCAAAGCATGGTTTCAATCTGCTGCTTAAAAGCCTCCAGTGGCCCCGCTGCCTCCAGGCCCTCTCCGAACTCCCAGATCTGGAATCGAGACCCTGCCGTGACGACGCGTGCCCACCCCACCCTCCTCCGTGCTGGAACCCACATTCATCAAGCCCCACATGTCCTCTCGGGTCTCTGTGCCTCCGGGTTTCTTTTCTGTCTAGAATTCCGGGCCTCCCTTTCTATGCTTGCTGAACTCCTGTGCATCCTTCAAAGCCCAAATGAAATGTTACCTCTTCTGTGAAGGCTTTCTTGATCCCCCTGATCAGAATGAACCATTGTCCCTTCTGAGTTCCTTTAGCACTGCACACACATTTCTATCCCAGTATTCTCACTGCCCTGTGCCATCGCTTCAATTTGTATGTCTGCCCCAGGCCCCCAGCTCCTAAACTACAGGAACCCATCAAATTCACCTTGTAATTCCAGCACCTGGAACACAGAGAGCCAGTAAATGGGTCTTGAATTAGTGAATGAATGGCTCCCTCTGCTCCCTATGTGACTGCACCATCTGAGCACGCAGGCCCCAGGGGATGAAGACTGGGTCCCGGATGTGAACAGATCAGTCAAAAAGACAGTGACTTCGGCAGGTTCTAGGGGTGGTGCTGGCTCCACTCAGAGCTGCTCTGCTCCAGCCTGACTCTGGGCCTGGTACACACGCTCACCTGCAGCCCGGCCAGTGGGGGTGTGGAGAGGAGGCTGTGAACCTTCATTTAGTCAGCGGCTGAATAATGACTCGTTTGTGTCACATGTGTGCCTCCTGTGCACCTGGCACCATGCTGGCACGGGGGATACAAAGAGAGCAAAACAAAGAAACACATCCTATGGTCTGCAGTCTACTGAGGGAGGTGATGGGCACAAAATAAGTAAAAATAAAAGAAGTACACAGGCTGCTTATAAGGAAACAGAGGGCTGAGACAGAGAAGTGGAGGGGATAATGTGATTTACAGTGCGGTCTGGGAAGGCCTCTTTAAGGAGGTGACATCTTCAGTAAGAGGTTGTAAGTGAGGAGCCTGCTGTGGCAGAAAGGAGCAATCAGGCAAAGCCGAACTCAGGGACCTTCAGCCAGCCTGTACCCTTCAAAGGGTTTACAGCAAGAAAGCCCAGGCTGAGGAACTGCTCCAAGCTGCACCAAAGAGCCGGGGCAACCAAATACAATTCAAGTCCATGGACAATGCTGCAAAGGGCATCACGGAAAAATTGGGAAAATAAGATATTGCACTGATGCTAAATTTCACCAATTTGGTCACTGAACCTGGTTTATGCAAGGCAGTGTCCCTGTTCTTAGGAGAGACACGCTGTAGTGCTTAAGATAAAGGGTCACCATGTCTACAACTTCAACAGGATATTGAAAGTTATTAATGATAATAATTTTTAAAAGGAAAAAAGGGCATTCCAAGCAAAGAGACCAATCTGTGCAAATGTCCTGAGGCAGGAAAGAACTTAGCTTGCTTAGAAAAGTCAATCAGATAAGCCAGTGAGCTGAGCAAGGAGGAGAAGGCACAAGGTGGCAGGGGTGGTGAGGCGGGGGACACTGTCTATTTGGATGGAGAAGCACCGGAGCTATCTATATCCAGGACACCAGTACGAGTCTCTGCTCTGGTTGGGGCAAGAGCTGACGGAGGCCTACAGCCAGGGACAGCATAGAGACGGTGCAGAAAGAGAGAAGCCGAGGATTACGTTGGGGGTTTGTGCTCATAGGTCAAGACTTCTGAGAATCTGGACAGTGAGGGAGGTGAGAGTTAAAAGTTGGGAATCACTCAAGGTTTTTAGTCCAAACCGTCATGCAGAAGGTGATGATTACATTTACTAAAAGATAGATGAGAAGTAGCTGGGGATGTATGTTAAGCACTCAGTTTGGGAATGTTAAGTCTGAGATGCCTCTGAAGCATCCAAGTAGGTCACTGCATCATCAGCGCCCAGCTCAGAAAACACACATGACACGAGCGGACTGCAGCAGAGGAGGCGGAGGCAGAGAGGAAAGGCTGAGCCCCACACCTCCACCCCCACCTGTGCCTCTCCCACTCGGCCTCTGCTGGCTCTGAGGCTTTCACCCCATACCCTCCAGCCTGGATAGCCCCCCTTTCTCCATCAGCACCCACAAAAACACCAGGCTCTGAAGTCCTCCTCCTTTTCCCTCCAAACAGTAGGGCAGAGAGCTCACCCTTCCTCACCCCCAAAAGGAAATGGCAGCAACCCAGTGAAACATCACTGGTCACCATAGCAACAGCTGGGCAGCAGCCAGGAGCTAGTCAAGTACTGGAGACAGAGCTCGGGGCTAGGCTGGGCCAGCCACAACCCAAAGTGGGGGCATGTCAACTCTCTGTACTTGGTTCCCAGGTGTGGAAATCAGGGGAGTCCCCTTCTGAAGAACTGCCATAGAAAACACCTGCTGTGCAGAAATTTGGGGGACAGGTCTTGGAAGCCCTAGCCTCCACCTGCCCTCACTTCCATTAATATTTCACAAGGCCATCCCCCAGGCCCCATGAGAGCAAAAATAGTATATTGATTGGGCGCCGTCCTCCCCTCCACTGGCGGACTCTTAGAAACTCTGAACCGCCCCCCACAACACACACACCCTTTGAACTCCCCTCAGTTTCGTCTCCTGGTGGCACACAAAGGACTCAGTGGTGGTTTGTGCTGAGAGCTGAAAATTAACAACTTAGACTTGGGAATGCGAGAGGTGGGTAGGAACTCTGGGGACACGGCCTCAGGCCGACTGCAAATGCCGAAGGGCCTTCTCCCCTTCCTGGCTGCCCTCCTGACACTAACAGTGCCCCAGATGGGGCATCTTCACCCTGGCTCCTAGTCCTCAGGAAGCCACAAGTTCAACCTGCAGGGACTCCAACTGAGGCGGTGCCTCCTCCTGGAAGACAACTGCAGAACCCGGCCTGCGCCCAGGCCTACAGCCCCAAGCAGACGCGCGTTCCCTTCACCTAGCGTTCCCTTCTTCTAGCCATTTTTGCTTTGTACGCTGCTACCATGCGGCTGCTTTCCACTGCAGCCCCACAAACCGCGCGCTGCACTCACACTTTGGTCGTCATCCTCGCTGCGCATGTGGTCTGCGATGAAGCGCACACCGTCCACCGCCTCCTGGAGGCCACAGCCACACGGTCCCCCCAAGCGCCCTGGGACAGCTGCTGGCGCAGGCTCTGCCCCAAAGGCCTCAGCCAAGCCCTGGACTGATGCACGGTTGACAAAGCATGTGCAGGAGTCGGCCCCAGGGGTTTCGCGGAAGAAGAGCGCCCTGGGCCCCTCACGCTCGCGCTGGCGCCGCCGAAGGCGCAGGCGTTGTCGGGCGCAGTGGTGGCGCGGCTGCTGCATGAAGAGTAGCGTGGGCAGCTTCTCCAGGAAGACGACCTTGACCCACGGCGCCATGGTGTGTGTGGTGGGCGAGCGGTGGTGCACGTTGAGCACACACACACTGGTGACGATGGAGAAGGTGACAAGCACCATGGTGAACATGAGGTACTTGCCAACAAGAGGCACATCAAGGGACGTGGGCGGCACGATCTTGGAGATGAGCAGCAGAAAGACGGTGAGAGCCAGCAGCACAGAGATGCACAGCGTCATCTTCTCGCCGCAGTCGGAAGGCAGGTAGAAGACGAGGATGGCCAGCGAGGTGATGAGCACACAGGGGATGATGAGGTTGATGGTGTAGAACAGTGGCTTGCGGCGGATGATGAAGTCGTAGGTGATGTCCACGTAAGTGGAGTCCTCTGGGTTCTCATTGCGCCGGCCGGGCAGCGCCACAATGTCCCACTCGCCACTGGGTGTGAAGTCGTCCAGGCTGGCCACATCACTCTTGAGCACGAGGTCGATCTCCGTGCGGTCGTAGGTCCATGAGCGGAACTTCATGGTACAGTTTTGCTGGTCAAATGGGAAGTGCTTTACTTCAATCTTGCAGGCGCTCTTGTAGATGGCAGGTGGCAGCCAGAAGATGCTGCCGTCATAGGAGACCACGGCGTTGGAATAGAAGGACACCTCATACATGCCGTCAGCACTGCGAAGGGTGAGCAGTCAGCTCTGGCCTCCACCTTCTCCACCCCCACCTATCAACCCAGCCCTGACTAGGAGGAGAGGGAAGCCAAAGGGACATACGGGAGGGGGGACCCCAGTCTGCGGGGAGCCATCCGGGGTATAGGGAGGCAGAGCAGGGGCGGAGCCAAAACAGTATCTGGGCAGGTTTGTGGGGAGAAGAGGTGTTCTGCTCAGAACTGTGAGGCCCCTCAGAGATGAAGAGGCAGATGAAGGGGTGAAAGATGCGGCCGCAGCTTGTCATGGACTGTGGAAGCTGTTTGCTTCACATAAGGGTGGAGAAGTTGGGGGAGCCAGCGAGGGCAGAGTGAGGCACCTCAAGCGCTGGTGTGGGACAGAGGCAGGTGGGAGCAGGAGACGGTCCCAATAACTTGGAGGTGAAGGAGTTATTTCAGGAGAGGGCGTAGCACCTGGAGAAGAGAGCGAGACCCCCAGGTCCTCTGGTCCTGCCCAAGCCTCCAGGAAAGCCTATTCTTGCATCGGCTTAGGCCCTGGGGGCTGTCAGTCCTTGCTTACATCCCACAGCAGCTCCAAACACTGGGACTCCTAAATGGCTGGGCAGGGGCTGACAATGGGCCAAGTTACCCTGGCTGTCCACATTCTACCTCACTGGTCTGGGTCTGTCTGTCTGGGTAGCGACAGCATCTATGCCAAGGGGAAGACTCTTCTCTGCACCCAGCATGAGCTAAGTTACCTTCCCCAAGACCTCTTCCTTCTCTGCACACTCCCATGGCCTCCCCCAGCCTTTCCAATGCTCTGAGGTCACCTACTTGTTGTACAGGACCACATCTGGGAGCCAGATGTGTTTGGAAGGGAGTCGAACTTTCTTCATGTTGTCAAACTCCTCAGGCTTCCAAGTGAGGCGATAGTCCTCCCATTCCTGGGAAAGGGAGAGAGGGAGGCAGCGCCAACCTCTGCCCTGGGAGGGGCCGAAGGCAAGGACAGCGACAGGAGGGGGCCCGCTGCGCTTTTCAAGCCATCACCTTCCCACAGTGACTACTCTGCCCAGCAAATGTGGCTCATAAAATGCATTCTCATTTAAACTGCACAGCTAAGCCAAGACATTAGAATCTACATTTTACAAATGTGAAAATGAATCTCGCAGAGTTTAACAGGCTTGAGTCATAGAGCTGGTGAGTGGAAGAACCAAGATTCTGATCCAGTTATTTAGGACACCAAAGTTTGTACATTTCTGCCTCTCTTCAGGAGATTAAAAGAGGGGAAAACACCTAAAAAGAAAAAAAGAAGAAAAGAAAAAGGATGAAAGAGAAGACCAGGGGTGTGGGCAGGAAGAGCACCTACCTGGGTGAGCCAGACATTGGTGGTCATGATCTGCTCCCGCTCATGCTGCAGGAAGGAAGAGAAAGAAGAGAAGCTGCCGCAACGGCCTCCCCGCCTGTGGGCCCAACAAGGCCGCCGTGGGCTCCCCACAGCTCCCAGGCCGTGGGAACTCCTGAGGAGTAAGCACTAATATGACTGCATCTGGCCGTGTTGAGTCGAGTAGTAGGGCAGCGAGTTTGGGAGCCCACTCACCACACTGATGAGCTGGGCCAGTGAGACCATAAGCTGTACCGTCACCAGCTCAGAGCCATTGGTGGCTGGGCGGATAAGCTTGTTGTAGCGGGAAGGATCCAGGAGATGCTCCACCAGCCGCTCCTCTGTATCTGTACCCCAGACTCCTGGGCAGAGGATTGAGGGGCAAGAGGTAAGGAAGTGCATGAAAAAGGCCCACCTACCCTAGGCAAGGGGGTCAATCCCAGCCCAAACAAGAGGCTGTTGCTTCCCAATGTTCCATCCCTAAGGGATACCTCAAAATGCTTCAGTTAACCATAGAGGCCCCTCATAGAGAAACCCTTCCCTGAGCGCCCCGAGTTGCCCAGACAACCCTACACAAATGTCTCTGGCCCAAGAAGCCATTCTGTAAAGATTAGTGGAGACCTGATCTTCCTCTAAGGTATCAGAGGGTGGTTTCAAGAGACATTCATGTTTCCAGAGCTTCTCCTGAAAGATGCCTACAATTCAGGGAAGGTTATTCATGTCCCACCATACACCCCTTCCCGAGTCAGGGTTTACCTGTGCACATGCCTCCACATGTAACTGTGGCTGTGACCCCATCCCCACCCTCAAAGGTACTGGGTTGGAGCAGAACCGTGGGAATTTCTAAGCTGTGGGTCAGGGTGCATATTTAGTCCCAAGTTTCAAATACACAGGATCCCACATCCCAGGAGATGACGGGCAAGTATAGAAGTCTTACTAGGTTGTACATTCCCTTCGCACCTGCTCTCCACACACCCCGTCCCCTCAGAGAGGTCCTCCGTGGGCCCCAGCCTGGCAGAGCCTATTCCCTTTCGAGTCTCCTGTCCCACCCTATGAGACGGTGGAAGAGTCACTTCTCTCTGCCTCCTTCCTTGCCTCTGTGGAGTGATCAGAATCAGGAGCCCAAGGTGGCGGGCAGGAAATGATGGAGAGCCAAGGGAGGCTGCTGAACCAGGCAGACGTCTTGATATAATGTTTCACAAGAAGTCAATGGCATCTCAGGCCCAGACACTGCCCTCCTGACGACCTAGAAAGCCTGGGGAGATTCCCTCCCTCCTTCCTTTGTGTGCCCAACCTCCCCACCCACCCCTGCCCAGATTTCTGCCGCTTCCTTTCATCATTACTCCTCCCGGTTCAGTCTCCCGGGGTTCCCTGCAGGCCCGAAGGTCCCTCCCCTAACTCCCAGCAGACTCCCCACCTCTAGGAATCCCTTCCTTCCACCTGGGAGCCTGACTAGGCGAGACAGAGCGCGGCGCTCTGCCATTACCTGCACACAGCTGGAGGAGGCCCAAGCCGAGGAGCAGCGCCGTGGAGCCGGGGCGCCAGGCCATGCTGCGGGCATAGCTCGCCGCCTCGCTAGACCGGCGGGTGCTGTCCGCGGTGCTGAAGCCGCGCCTGCGCCGGGCTGGGGGCCGGGCCTTGGGCGGTACGCCGCGGCGGCTTTGGGGCACAGGGACTGGGCTGCGAGAAGGGACCGGCTTCTCGCACTGCGGTCCCAGCGGCGGAGGCTCTTCTGGCCGCTGGTCCAGGGAGTGCGGGCGGGACGGCGAGGGGAGGAGTCTCCGCCCGGAGACGGAAGCGCCCGCCCGGGAAGCCGGGGTCTCCGGGTGGGACGCTCCGCGGCCGGTCCTGGGCGGGGTGCTGCAGCCCCGAGGTCCGGCCGGGCCTGCAGGCTGTTGGCGAAGAGGCGGGAGGAACCGGCGAGTCAGACAAACAAACGGGTCGGGACCCGCTTAGTCCGGGGACACGGGCCAGCCCGAGGGGGCGCAAGTCGGAGGTTCTGGGGTCCCGCCCTTCTTTTTTCTCTGACCAAACCCAAATGATCCTGCCTCCTGGGAAGCCCAGGATGCTCCAGAGAAAATGCCCCTCGGGGAAGAGACAGGGGGCCGTGGGTTTGCTATTTTAAGAAAACAACTTTGGAGTCGGAACAGGCCCCCTCACCTGCCCCGTTCTCTACCTCCCTCCATAAATTCCCGAAAAGGCCAAGCTTTCTGTCCTCTCCCAAGTAAGTGGTCTAAGGTGAGGACTTCTGGACATCATCTGAATAGGTAGGTGACCTTGAAGGTCTTGAAGAGTGGAAGGGTAAGTGACTCTTACCAATTAGCCTTTCTCACCTCACTCCTTTCTACCCCAGTCTTCGGCTTCTGTGTGACAAAGCGGCTCAGAAGACCGTTTCACAGAGGCCAGCCCCAGAGTGAAGCCAACACAAAGGAGAGCAAAGATGAGACAGAGAAAGAGGTGTCAAAATTCAATGACATCTTTGATCTTGAAAGCCCTGAACTTTTAGCTTGTGAGCCAATAAAGGCTTCCCTTTTTTCTTAGGTGGATTTTTGTCACTTTCAACCAAAAGATTCCTGACTGAAGCAGCCTTATCATACATCAAGGCTCTGTCTTATTCCATCTCTGCCTACTTCTTCAACCTCATCTGGGCCACTACCCCCAGCTCCGCACTTCAAATATTGGCAATGTCTCTATGATCCTTGAACATTCTGTCCCTTCTATCCCCTACATTTCATGGTCCTTTAAACATGTAGTTCCCTTGGGTTTTTTGTTACCCATTTCCCCCTCAACTACCTTTTACTTAACTTTGAACATCTGGCAGCAACGTCAGCTTCCTCAAGGAAGCTGAGCAAGAACTAGATCAGTAATTTGCTATGTTTCCAGAGGATGTCCAATAAGTAAACGAACCAGCCTAGGGTGTTGCTGTCTGTTTCACTGGATCATGAACCAGCACAGTGCCTGGCATATCGTGAGGGCTCAACAAATAAGGAAAAGGGCTAGTGCAGGACTGACACCTTTTAATGTGTAGGGGTGTTCCTCTTTAAAAGCCCAGTCCCTGGGCTGGAGGAAGAGCAGGAAAGCACCAGAAAAGGAAGGGCTGGAGAGAAGTGGGATGACTATAAGCCCCTTACTGCACCTAAAAGTGGGCCATAAATCTGCACCACAAGCTTCAAGGCAAGTGCCTGTGTAATCACGTGATAATATCTGAAGAATGAAAGAAATCCTGGAACCAAGGAAAGGACTGAATAATAAAAGCCTATGGAAAAGGGAAGGAAAAGAGAAGGGTATATAGTCACACCTCTGGGGGGAAGGGTCAAAGGCAGGAAGAAGAACTACCTTCAGCAATCAGATCAACATTTGTTGAGTATCAGCTGCATAGATGTTGAGGATGCACTGATCAAAAAGACTCAGCCATTTAGGAGATCACAGTTTGGCAACAAAGACTTATTATACAATATGGAGGCTGCATAGTAAAGATATAAACAAGGAGCTATGGAAGCACAGAGGAAAAAGGGGTTAATAGTGCCTCTGTATCTGGAGAACATGGAGGTTAAAACTGAGATTTGAAAACCGAGTAAGCCAGTATGACAGGGTGGCTTAAAGGCACTCCTGAAAGAGAGGGACAGGGGGCTTTATGCATAGATGCTACTCAGTGCTTTCTTCTTTTGGGTGCTAGATGATTGAAGAAGGCTTCCTTTATGAAAATCTCTGGAGTAGTTGCTTGTATCTCATTAGACAAACTAGAGGATCATTTGCTTTCTTGAAGCTCTTGTTTGCTTCCTGGTGCTCCTTTAGGCTAGTCAAGCAGCCTGTTCACCTTGGCCTCTACCTTCTCTTTTCAAATTCCTCAGCTTTTATGTCAAGATTAATTCCAGCCTGGCAGGGAGTGAGTCCTCTTTGCACAACACCCTGTGGCCAAGGAGAACGGGAACGCCCACTCTCCCTGTCTCCCACAGACACGTCTTCCATACCTGCCAGGAAGAAAGGCAGCCGGGGAGAGAGGGAACCATGCAGGGTGACGGACAGCTATAGAATTATCAGCCCTGAGGCAAAATAGAGACCAGGCGAAGTTTGGTGTGGCACTCCCTCTGCCTCTGATGGAAAGAAACATTTTCTTTTGAAAAGCATCACAATCCATTTGTCTACACATTTATGTGTACTTAGATATAACATATATACAAACGTATATAAATTACAAGTGTACAACTTGATATATTTTTCACAACACGACACAGCCATATCATTTTCACCCATATTTAAAAAAATAGAACATTAGTAACGTCTAGAAGTGCCCCCAGTAGGTCCACCCCCATCATTATTCTCTCCTCTTCGAAAGTTCACCATGAGGGCAGAGAAGGGGAGCAACTGCTCCATGGGCCCTGCTTCTGGAACTAGATAGAGGTGACAGTCACACGACACTGTGAATGTGCTAAATGCCACTGAATTCATTGCACACTTTAAAATGGTTAAAATGGCAAATTTTATGTTATGTGTATTTTCCCACAATTTAAAACACTGACTAAAAAAGTAAAGGCTATTCTGACTTCTAAGAGGACACATGGCCTTTGCCTGCTGAATTTCATGTGAATGAAATCACAACCTTTCATACTTTTAAACTTATGGACATTGTTGAATGTAGTTGTAGTTTATTCATCTTCATTGCTATAGAATATTCAGCCCTGGCTGGTGTAGCTCAGTGGATTGAGCGCGGGCCTGCGAACCAGACAATTGCAGTTCGATTCCCAGTCAGGGCACATACCTGGGTTGCAGGCTGGTTCCCTGCAGGCCAGTTCCCAGCAGGGGACGCATGAAAGGCAACCATACATTGATGTTTCTCTCCCTCTCTCCTTCCCTTCCCCTCCAAAGATAAATAAATAAAATTATTTAAAAAAAAAAGAATATTCAGATACTGTGTGAATACACCATTGTTTATTTGGGTTATTTCCTATTTTACTATTAAAAATATTTCTATGAACATTCTTGGTATACAAATATATGCATTTGAGTACATAACTAAGTTATTTACATTTTAATCTATTTTTTAAAGGGAATACACTATAGCTTTGTAACCTTCATTTTTCATTCACGATTTCTCAAACGTCTCTTCATACCAACAAGTGTTCTTGACTTTTAAACAGCTGCATATGTGGCACTGTAGGTGCATTTTGGCACATATCTTTAATATAATTTTGAAATGAAACTGCTGGGTCAAAGTATTAAAGCTTTTTGATCATTTACCGATCCATTGCTAAATAATTAAACAATTGTTTTGCCCTACCTCTAGAAGGGTTAACACTATGGAGGTTACCTGGGGGCCTCAGGCTAACGCGACAACGGCCAGCATCTCTGCAGTCCTGCCTGAGCCCTCCTGGTCGTCCCCTTTCCTCCTGAGCCCTTCCTCCATTGTCTCAGGGCCTTTCTCTCCAACCTCCTTCCACCTCAAGGCCCAGTTCTTTCAAAATGTCCTCCATTTCCATCTAAGGAACTTCTGTCACATTCTTTCTGGGGAGTTAATCCTGACTAATATCACCCTCCAAGGACCTTACCTCTCTTGATCACTGTTACTGTGCTTGCCACACTGTATTACAGTTGATCCCATCTGGCCCCCACTCATCTGTTACCATGTGTTCCTGAGGGCAGGGGTAAGAAATGCAACAAAAACAGTAAGATGGGTTGCAGCTGCCACATAAGGAGCCCCTCCTGTGTGCCAGGAATGAAGCTAAGCTACCCACAGGGACCGTATCTTATTTGTGTCTGCACCTCCAGGGCCCATTATAGTGCCTGACAAAGTACAGCTGCTCAGGACGCATTCGGTCCTTGAGTCCGTGACGGAGTGCTAAGCTTGTGGGAGCAAGTCAAAGGAGAAGGATGATCACTCTGCCCCAGATGAGAGCATCTGCTAACACATGTTCTGATAACACATGACCTTTGGGAGAAACAAAAATCCCTTCAATCCTTTTTATATACAGCAGCCAGAATGATCTTTTAAAATCAGATCATGCCACTCACAGCTTAAAAATCATTCAATGGTTTCCCACTGTACTTTAAATAAAACCCAACTTGCAGTGGTCTCTATAATCCAGCCCTTGGTTTTGTCACTGGCCTCATCTCCTACCCCACTTCTCTCTTCTTTCACTAGACTCAGTGCCGATCCCCTCTCTATTTTCCGAAACACCAAGCTCTTCCTAGGTGCACTGTTCTAAGCACTTTTCATGTGTTACCTCACTTAACCCCCCCAGCAGCCTTATGCAGTAGGTACTGTTATGATCTTCATGTTACGGATGTGAAACGAAGTACATATTGGCTAAGTCACACCATTAACAGCTGGCAGAGCTGGGGTTCAAAGCCCGAGCCAGTATATTATTAGCTTCCTACTTCTAGCCCATGCCACCTTTGTTGGCACACAGGGTCTCGGAGGTTGTTGCTCTCCTTGCTGGCATGCTCCGCCCCGCCCCTGCCATGCCTGCCTTCTCTTCTTCAAATCTCAGCTCAAACACCACCTGCTTAGGGAGACCTCCCCTGACTAGTGGACTTCAAGTTTCCCTGAGTCGTTCTCTCCCACGTGACCCTACTCTAATTCCCTGCATCTACTTACCAGGCATTCTTCCGGTCATTTGTTTTAGTATGTGACTCTGCGTCAGAAAATAAGCAGCACCAGAGCAGAGATCTTATCTGTCCACTGTTGTATGTTGATACTTAAACCAGTGTCAGACACATGCCATAGCCCCATAAATATTTACTAAGTGACTAGTAAACATTTGTGCTTTGTAAACAT